TCAATATAAAGGGGGATTCCCTTGTATCACAGAAGCGGGGAGAAACCCCTTGATCCCACAACCCTGGTCACACTTGTGTGTCTCAAGCTCCAGCAGTTAGTCCACCAGGTTGGGAGAATTGCGAAAAAAACGCTACCAACGAAGGTGCAATAACCCTTCTGCACAACTGTCATGTCATGTCACCCAATTCAGTATGATACCATTCCTCCCACAAACATCTGCGGGAGGGAAACCGGAAGATGAATTTGTTTTTTTCAAGGCACCCTTTTGCCAGGTGCCATGTTGGTGGGAGGGAGGGTGCCCAAAACGCTTTCCCTGCCTTTCTCTGTAAATCTGGCAGCTCTCAAATCCCACAAAGGGTGCCCACTAGGTCCAAGTACCTTTTGAGGACGCGCTTCCACCCCAAGTACATCCTCATAAGGTACTTTGAATCCTCTGCAGTCGAAAAAGACACATAGAAAGTATAGTTCCTGGTCATAAGTGTGGTAGCAAAGCTTAAACCTATTACAACCATGCATGGTAATAACGGGCGTGTCTTTTGGAGGGTACCCTTTCTTGATGTGTTTAAAAAGGAATGGAAAATCACGCACACAAATTGTGGGGGGTGTCAAGACACAACCTAGCCTAGCAGCTTAAATCACAAACAACGTAAACAAATCCCCTCTGATTAAACAAAATGCGTTTGACTTGGCAGTTAGGCAAACACTCCTCTAACACCATGGACCCCTAAGGGGGCTATGGGGACAGGGGGCTATCCCTCATTTACCCCCGTATGCCACACAAACAAGTGCATATCTATGGCTTATCCTAGGCTTATCCGCCCCCCCCCCCCCCAAACTTCCATTTGGTTAAGACCCCCCACAAAAAAAAACAACAACAACAATATGTATATATATATATATATGCACCCACATTTCCAGTAGTGATCACTTCCTTTTGAAACCAACATGGGAACCTAATAAACCAGAATGCTCTTAAGAACATGGAAGCAAGTCGCCCGGATGAGAGGAGCCCAGCTATGGCCCCCTGGACCGGATCTGATTCTCGGGCTGCGGCTTGGCCATGGGCTCCCTATCGCTGCCGATCGAGGCCCGGCCGCCATTTTTGCTTTTTCGCCCCCTGGAAAGGTGAAAGTACCTGGAGTCTCCTTCTGACCCTTGAAAAATGGTGGGTCGTTACCCAAAATGATGGGGCCATTGCCCCATTTTGAAAGGGTCATGGAGAATCTAGGTATTTCAAGGTGCTGCTAGAGTTGAATCTCGGTTGCTTTCTCCCCTGCTAAAAGTGAATAACTTTTACTGATTTAGTTGGAAATCCCAGTAGGTGGCAAAAAGTGAAAGTCCTAACATCCAAGCAAAATGCACTAAAGGGAAGCACGGGTCAAGAACGGACCCCGGAATTTGCGGTTTCGGGTTTAGTTCAAGGGGATCTGTCAAGTATTTCGACCCTTTGGGAAGCAAAACCCAGTGCTTCCGGGCAAGCCACAATAATGGGCGAGCAGGGAAGCCGTCCATGGTAAAGCCTAGAGCTAAGAAAAGCCTGGTTGTCTACTACAGTGGTAGCTGGAAGCACTGGGTACTTTTGACAACCGGATTAACCAACCCCAGTTTATCAGTTTATGAATGGGCGTCCCCGGGTTCAGTGGGACATCATCACGAGTGCCACCCAAAAATAGGACGGGTTGATTTCCCACTCCCGCAAAATTCCCCTCCACAAAAATCAGACAGCTTCGAGCGCACGACTCGAAACAACGTGCCCAAAAATTCACGCGGCGCCCCCTTTTAGAACGTGCAAACTCAGCATGGAGAGCACGTGCACCTGCAGTCTCCTTTTGACCCTTAAAAAGTTGGGTCTGTAGCCCAAAATAATGGGGTCATTGACCCATTTTCGAAGGGTCAGAAGGAGACTCCAGGCAGATTTCTTGGAGGCTTTCGGGGCCCGGCTCTGTGTCCCATTTTGGCACCTGAGACTTGAGAAATACACCCAAGAGAGGGATTGGACATATCGGCGCTCGCCGAGTGGCGATGGTGTTAAGGCCCCCCAGATTGGCTTCAAACGGGAGATCCCCCATAAATGACCTCAGCTTGGGAGTGACAAAAACGGTGGCCAAGGGACACCAAAAGGTCAAATCAAGTCGATTCCCTTTGGTATGTGAGTTATTGGCCAAGACTGAAGAGGTGTACCTTTTGCAACTTGAAATGAACAATATCCGGCACATCTTTGTGACATTCTTGAAGGCTTTGGGTGGATCATTCTCTGAAACATGGGTAAAATACGAAGGGAACTTCCCGGACCCAACAAGCACCCCAGAGAAGGGCGTCCAAGATGGGGCGGATCCCGAATCTGAATTCTCATTCGTAGTCTAGCGGGATTACAACAAGAAAACCGCAGCTGGCACAAGGATTGAGGACTGTTTGGGAACAACCCAGCTTACAAGCTGCTGTTGGAATTGGGGGTGTACTTAAACATTCAAGAAATCTAGTAAGTACCTGGAGTCTCCTTCTGACCCTTTAAAAATGGGTCAATGACCAACCATTCTTTTGGGTAATGACGTATCCCATTTTTTGAGGGTCAGATCCGGAGACTCCAGGTACTCCAAATACCCTCTTGTTTTAGTTCTCTGTTGTTTGGGAAACCTGTTTTTTCCCTTGAAATGCTACTTAGCAAGTATAGGTTATAACCATGTTCATACCGGAACGGTTTCATCAAAGTAGGCCGAATTGATTCGGGAGGCCAGGTCCGTACCTTTTTTGCGCAGACAGAGACATGACTTACCCTTGGTTGACGTTGGAAGGGGAGCAACAAAAATAAATCTTAGCAGTTAAGTGGTTGGATTTCAACAATCAGCAAAAATGTAAAATGTTTCCCAACAACCATGAAGTACCCTGGCCTCAGTATGTCACCACTATCACAGTCTCCGCCCAGTGATAGGTTCAAGGGAGCCAGCATAACCCTCAGACACCATTTTCAAAATGATGAACCCAGACCCAAACCCACCGAGAAAAAAAAAAGGAACAAGGCTTGAATGCGCTACCCCAGTGGATCCCAGCAGGCAACCAGGTGTGGCTACATCATGGTTTTCCCCAGTGGAAACCCAAACAACAAAGAACTAAAACAAGAGGGTATTTGGAGTACCTAGAGCCTCCGGATCTGACCCTCAAACAATGGTGGGTCATTACCCAAAATAATTTTGGTCATTGACCCATTTTTAAAGGGTCATGGAGACTCCAGGTAGGCTCCTTCTGGCGACAACTCAGCTCTCCCGCCTCAGCACTGCCTATCTTCAGCAGAGCCAAGGGCGCACGGCTGATATGCTCTTACGACTTGGCACATACGGGGAAAACACAAAAAAAAACTCCCACGTTTGCCGCAGTCAACCGATTGGGCGGGCGCTTTGCGGAACGTGGGGGCCCAAAGCTGCCGGCCGTGGACATCTTCTGCGTCGGAAGGGGCAGGGGCTGGCTGACTGACATCCTCCGCCGGAAAGTTCCACCCGGGAAACTGAGCCGAGAACTCTGCCCGATGGGTTCACAGGAAACTACCTGGAGTCTTGACCCTCACAAAATGTGGGACTTTACCCAAAATAATTTTGGTCATTGACCCATGTTTAAAGGGTCATGGAGACTCCAGGTATATATTTTCTGGTTTCACGGTGCTTCCAGGTACAACTACCTGGAGTCTCCGCCTGAGCGCTAAAAAATGGTTCAATGACCAACCATTCTTTTGGGTGACCAACCATGTTTTTTAAGTGTCAGAGCAGGAGACTCCAGGTATAGTAGGTCACCAGGAATATTTGCCTCTAGGCTTTACGTCAAGGTTCCCCGGAGTCTCTGGGCCCATTTCGCACCACGAAAGGAAACCATGGGAAAACAAGGTTCGTCGGTATGTTCAGGGGAATCATCAGAAACCAGGGTTTCCGAGGTGATGCAGGATTTCGTCCATCCACAGCATGTGTTGGGTAATGACCCCATTTTTTGAGGGAGACTACAGGTTGAGACCAACCAACTGCTCGCATAATGATCTGGTGGCCCGTGACTGATCGGCAATGGTTGTGTTCGACAGGCACAACTGAGGCACAACCAGGGAGGGAATCCAGAGATACCAGCAGCGGTTGAAGTGTCGAGGGGTCACGGCCCAACTGGCTCGCCGCTTGGGCTGAATCTGCAAAATAATTCCCAAGCAAAAGGCCATCGAGCGATGGATACCAGGTGACAGTGACAGTGACAGTGAAATGACAGTAATCGGTGAGCTCGCAATGACAGTGAATCGCACTGGGGAGCTGGAAGCACCGGGTAGGTCCCCCAGCAACTGGAGTCTCCAACTCTGACCCAAATTTAAAAATGGGTCAATGACCAACCATTCTTTTAGGGAATGACCAACCAGTTTTTAAGGGTCAGAAGGAGACTCCAGGTATACTTGCCGAGCCAAGCAAATAGTTCACATGATATATAAGTTCGCTTTCACTCCCCGGTGAGCTTGTTACAGCTCATGATAGTGCTTCCAGGCAAGCCGCTGTTGTTGGGCAACCGGGGGAAAGCCATGATGTAAAACCTGGAGCTAAGAAACCCTGCATTGACTCATATGTGACAAATGCTCGGTTCAGCTCGTGTATTTCAGTGGAGGAGGCACAACCTGAAGCGAAACCAACAATACGAATCTTGGGACCGGCCTAAAGCGGTTTATGAGGCCCACCGCCTGCCAAGGTCCTGCCCACTTCATGTCCTCTTCCTGAATCGATTTTGGCCAAACAAAATCCGAGCTTTTCATTCGCCAAACGGATCCTTTACATGGGATGACCATTGGGAAACCCACTGAAGGGCCGGCATGTCCCACTAAATGGGGATAAGTTACCCATGGTCATCTCTGGGCTCGGAACTCCCAAAAAATTCAAGCTCGTAAACTCAAGAAGTGAGTCAATGGATCCAATGCTGCTTGAGGTTGCGCAAGCATGGCAAAAACAAGCAGCGCGCGGCCTCATCACCCAACAAGTCGGAGGTTTCGTCTTTTTCCGCTTCGGGACACACTTCGATTCACATCTTCATGGCCGCGTTGGCGATCGAGGAAAAGTCATCTGCCTGCAAGCCGCCCCACGGCCCCACGGCACATCGACGAGTTGAGCCCTGGTGGCGTCTTAAGAAATGCTCATGCAACCATTGTTTTAGTTGGTATCATGTCAACCCTCTACTTAAAAAGGAGGCATTTTCAAGGGAAAACCAGGTTTCCCAAACAACAGAGAACTAAAACAATTTGGAGTACCTAGAGTCTCCATGACCCTTAGAAAATGGGTTCATGACCCCTTAATCTTGGGTAATTACCCTTTTTTTTAAGGGTCGTGGAGACTCCAGGAAGGGGGCGGGCTGGTCTCAAATCACGGCTTCCCCTTTTGGATGGTTTCGAGTGGAAACCAAAGAGAAGCCAGGCACCCGAGGGAATTGGTTCCTAATTTCAAGAACTCCCAAATCGAAAAGGACATCTCAAAAAGAAACCAAACATGGCAACCAGTGCGACCATTTCTCTGTGCTTCACCAAAAATGTTTAGAACTAGTCGAACTAGCCTTCCCTCTCTCTCTCTCTCTCATCCAAGAATGCATGCACACAAAACAATGCGCTGCGCGCAAAAAAAAGGAAACGCGAGAACTGGGGAACATAGGTGGCACATTGCGCAAAACATCTCGGCTGCGATGCGTACTTTGGGTGGCTCGACCCTTAACAACTCGGATTGTGTTTTCACGATTTTCATGGCGCCCTGCAAACAACTCATGTGACTTTGCATGTGTCACTTTCGTGGGCTGGGGAGAAAGAAGGAAAGAGAGAGGAAGCTAGAGAGAGAAGGAGAGAGAAAGAGAAGAAGGAGAAAGAGAACGAGAAAGGGAATGAGAAGGAGAAAGAGAAAGCGAAAGAGAACGATAAATAACAAGTATGAAGAGAAGAAAGCGACAGACAGACCGAAAGGAAAAGATAAAGAGAGAGAGAGAGAGAAAGAGAGAGAGAGAGAGAGAAAGAGAGCCCGAGAGAAAGAAGGAAAGAAGGAAAGAAGGAAAGAAGGAAAGAAGGAAAGAAGGAAGGAAGCAAAGAAAGAAAGAAAGAAAGAAAGAAAGAAAGAAAGAAAGAAAGAAAGGAATAATGAAGGAAATAAAGCAAGAAAACAAGAACGCAACAAAGCAATAAAACAAGAAAACAAGAACGCAAAAAAAACAAGAAAGCAAGAAAGCAAGAAAGCAAGAAAGCAAGAACGCAAGAAAACAAGAAAGCAAGAAAGCAAGAACGCAAGAAAGCAAGAAAACAAGAAAGCAATAACGCAAGAAACAAGAAAACAAGAAAACAAGAAAGAAAGAAAGAAAGAAAGAAACAAATAAAGAAAGAAAGAAAGAAAGAACGAAAGAAAGAAGAAACAAAAGAAATAAATAAATAAACCATGAAATAAACATACATATAGCGATAAAGACAAAGACAACTATTGTTCCTGTTCTATTGACTGGAAAGTCACCAGAGTCCTTGAAAAACATCTGTTTCGGGCTTTCGGGCGCTTGTCCAAACCTTGTCGACCTCGAAGAAGTGGGGGGAGAGGCCGGTTCTCTTTACCTGGAGTCTCCATGACCCCTTAAAATTGGGGTCATTACCCAAAACAATGGAGTCATTGACCCATGTTTTAAGGGTCATGGAGACTCCAGGTACTAACATCAAATTCAAATTTGGATACCAGCTCCGAAGAAAACTGTTGTGGCGTCCATACGGAAACCTTCTTAAAGAATCCCTCCCCAAAAGTGGAAGTAACCCAAGATCCGCTACCATCTAGCCCTTTTTGGGCATGACTTCTCACTTCCCGACTGGATTCGCCATACAAAGTCCTGCAACTTTCTATTTACCTGGAGTATGGAGTCATTACCCACAATAATGGTTGGTCATTGACCCATGTTCAAAGGGTCATGGAGACTCCAGGTACCACTACATGGTCCAGCCCCAAAACGTGACTCAAGTCAGAAACTCGGGGACTGAGTTTCAAATGGACCCGTTTTCGGGTTGGCTTGAAGTGACACCGCAAAGAAAACCGGTCAGGGCTGTGGGAAATGGAATCCACTTCTGTGACACAACAAAAAGGGTCTCCGTGGCTGTACAAACCCCGCGTGATCCCACAACCAAAAAATGGGGTCATTACCCAAAATAATGGTTGGTCATTGACCCATGTTTTACGGGTCAGAAGGAGACTCCAGGTTTCTATTTACCACTAAAAGGGCCAGCCCCAGTCCAGGAACTCAGGGACTAAGTTTCACATGGACCCGTTCCCCGAAGGAGACTCCAGGCAAAAACGAAACCGGTGGACCGCCCGCAACTTTCTGCCGGCGACACGCCGCCTGACGCAGCTCCGCGGCCGCGCGCTTCCGCAGCGCCGCCGCCTGCGCCTCCGCCTGCAAGCGAAAAGCGCGACGAGTCGGGGCTTCAAGGGGGGGGGATCGGGGGACTGACCGGTACCTGGAGTCTCCATGACCCTTAAAAAATGGGGTCATTACCTAAAATGATGGGGTCATTGACCTATTCTTAAAGGGTCATGGAGACTCCAGGTAGATCTGAAACGCTCCCTCTTCAAAAGAGTTCGCCGCGAAATAAAAAGGGGTTTGGAGTAGGGGGACGGGTCCATGTGAGACTCAGTCCCTGAGCTCCTGGACTTTTACCGCCCGAAAACAAGGCAACCTCATTCTAAAAAACAAAGCAAGGGTTTTAGAACGACTCATATCTACCTGGAGCCTCCTTTTGACCCGAAACAAAATGGGTCAATGACCAACCATTTCTTTGGGCAATGCCTAGCCATTTTTTAGGGGTCAGAAGGAGACTCCAGGTAAGGGCGAGCGGATTTCCCTCGGGAGGACTCGGAGAGGAGCGACTCAGATCCACAAGTCACCTGTTCGCCTTCTAGGTGAGTCTTGGGTACTTAAAGGGGCAGCGGAATGTTGACCCCATATTCATCAACCCCAGTTTCCAAATAAGGGTGTCCTGGGGGAAATGTGGTTGGAATCAGATCGCTTTTGGAGGGGAACAACCTCCTATTCATAAACTGGGGTTGATTCATATGGGGTCAACATTACTTAGTAAGTGGTTAGTAAGCCTGGATATAACCCACTGAACGGAGACTTATAACCCTGGTAAGTGGGCAACCATGTTATTACCCACGTGCTAAGTACCCGGCTCCTCTAAATTCGATGGCCGACGAATGTGGGTTACCCTCGTGGGCCACATGTTGGTACATGTTGGTGCATACTGTGGATGGACGAAATCCACTTCGCACCACCTAGAGACTCCCTGGTTTTTGATACGATTTCCCTATACATACACCCAAACGCGAAAGTCCTTGCATTTTCGTGTTTTTCTTGAAAGTCCGCAGCCTGCCAGTAAAAACAACGCAACGAGTAGTCCCGGCAGGGTCCTTGCAACTGAGCCTTCCCCACTGGCACACGGCGCCCAAGTGTCTCCTAAAACTGCTTTGTTTGAGTACCACTACGGACGCAATCCCCATGGCACATCGCATGTTACAAGGCACTTAAAACGCATTTTAAGCATACACGTTTAAGTACGAGTAAGAAGGCAATCCCCATGGCACATCGCATACCAGTTGGGACCAAGATGTTGCTTGACTATGTGTGTTTGCACGCCAAAAAGAAGGCAATCCCCATGGCACATCGCATGCTCAACAACATCGAAACAAGTCTTGCAAAAACAAGTTCGTGTGCTAGTACGAAGGCAATCCCCATGGCACAAGCATACCCAAAAGCAACCAAACACATCTTGAAAACACCTTTTCGAAGCACAAAAATGAAGGCAACCCCCATGGCACGTTGCATAACCAACCGCAACGTGTCTCCTGAAACTGCTTTGCTTGAGCGCCACTACGGACGCAATCCCCGTGGCACATTGCATATTACAAGGCGCTTAAACGCATTTGAAGCACACATGTCTAAGTATGAGTAAGAAGGCAACCAGCATGGCACATCACATACCAGTTGGGACCGAAATGTTCCTTGACTATGTATGCTTGCTCGCCGAAAAGAAGGCAATCCCCATGGCACATCGCATGCTCAACAACACTGAAACAATTCTTTCAAACACAAGTTCATGTGCTAGTGTGAAGGCGATCCCCATGGCACATGCATACCCAAAGGCAACCAAACATCTTGAACACATTTCTCGAAGCGCCAAATACAAGCAACCCCCATGGCACATCGCAGAACCAACCGCAACCGAGCAGTGTTTAAACATATATATATATATGTAGTAGTAGTAGTAGTAGTAGTAGTAGTAGTAGTAGTAGTAGTAGTAGTAGTAGTAGTAGTAGTAGTAGTAGTAGTAGCAGCAGCAGCAGCAGCAGCAGCAGCAGCAGCAGTAGTAGTAGTAGTAGTAGTAGTAGTAGTAGTAGTAGTAGTAGTAGTAGTAGTAGTAGTAGTAGCAGAAGCAGTAGTAGTAGTAGTAGTAGTAGTAGTAGTAGTAGTAGTCGTGGTGGTAGTAGTAGTAGTAGCAGCAGTAGTAGGAGGTGCCTTGTGTTAAGTTTTTGGCAAGTTTACCCAGGAAAAAAACGAGTCCAAAAACGAGTCTAAAACGAGTCCGAAAAGAAAGAAAACGTGCAGCCGCAACCCACCTAGGCCTCAGCCTGAAAAGCAGGCCGTTGAAACCAATTGATGTGTTAAGCAGACTGTCGGCCTTAGCCTAATACGTATTTACAAGCACTTGTTGAGGATGACTGCGTGTGCCAATGCGATTCATGTGTTAGTTGACTGAACCTTCTCATTATCTTGGCCAGAGGCAGTGTGCCATTGCGTTTTGTGATGGGAGTGGGCCTCAACATTCAACAGGCACCTTCGCCAAACACTCCTCAAAGTATCCGCCTCCCCATGGCACACCAGACACTTGGCTTTGTGTACAGTCGGGGGCTGGGGTAGCACTTGCGTCGCCAGCAACATCTAAGCCTGCAACTTCTATCACCTCGAATCCTACTGGCACACAGCTGAACAACACAAGGAACCAGACTCCCATGTGTTAGTTGACTGAATCTTTTCATTATCTTGGCCGGAGGCAGTGTGCCATTGCGTTTTGTGACGGGAGTGGGCCTCAACGTGCAACAGCGCCCCTTCACCAAACACTCCTCAAAGCATCCGGTCCCCCATGGCACACCAGACACTTGGCTTTGTGTACGGTGGGGGGCTGGGGTAGCACTTGCATCGTCAGCAACATCTAAGTGAAACGAGTGTACCCATGCGATTTGATTCAAAATGGCTTCATGCCACACATCATAAAAGACAGCATGATCATGACCCTAAATAGCTTTCCCCACTGGCACACTGCTTGCGGCGCGAGATCATGGCTTGCGGGGCGTGTAACCACAAGGACCCAGTAAGTGTTTTTTCAGGCGTGTGCCAATGCGATTGGCCACCCAAAATGCCTCAACATCACCAACACAAACCGCGATCGAGGGAAGGTGTTTTCCATGTGTGCCAGTGCGTTCGGCCTACCCAAAAGACCTCAACTTGATCAATGAAACCATCTCAGGGGACCACGTTCAGCATGTATTTCTCTACAAAAAAGACCTCAATATCACGCAGCAATTGTCTCTTGAAAACATGCTAAACCAAACGCCACTGGCACACGGAGTTGCAACGACCCTACCGGATGCGTTTCGTGTGCGTATTACACGAAAAACATGCTGCCAAAACCAAACGCAACGACTTTCACAGGTGAGAGTAGCAGCCACCCATCGGTTCAACCATGGCTGGAAAGTGGTGCCAAGCGGATTTTGTCCATGCACAGTATTAACACGGGAACGGGGGGCTGTAGATATCGTTTGGACATGACCTGCACCGAATGGGGTATTGGTCAAAGTGTCACAAAGCAAAAGTCCCAACGCTTAGGAAGCCGAGCAGTTCCATAGTTGCCAAAAGAGCCCAGAAATACAAGGTTCACTTTTGGACAAGGTCAAACCGTCGAGTTATTGGCCAAGACGACACCTGTTAGGCAAAATGGGGATGTGCCCCTTTAACCTACTACTCGGTAAAACAACTGGGCCAGTATTTCGGCACAGTTTGATTAGGATGACTTTAAACATGGGAATTGTCATTTCCCCATAATGCTTCAAGGATCAGAAGGGGACTCCAGGTACTTATTGATATATATATATACACACATGTATGATTGTCTATTTCATATTTGGCCATGATCATATTAATGACTTTGCGTGAAACTGATTCGCTGAAAACCTACGTTGGGCTCCCAAACTGTTCGTGCAATTACGTAGAAATGCGACGCACAGCCCGCTCCTCCTTGAACCCGTGCCCGATACAACTGCCCAAATGGATCCCCTCGACCTTCGCACGGGCGGCGTGGATGGCCTTCGTCCTGCACCACTTAAGAGTTCCAAAGTGGGAACGGATTTCGCAACCATCCGGGGACGTTGGAACCATGGAAAGGGCCTCCACAACACGAATCCCCGGCCAAGGCGGTCGAGCCCGGAGATCCAGGCATTCGCGCGGTAGGTAGCGGCTCGATGCTCGTTGCCAGCGGTAGGTCCCATTGACCCAACGAAATGAATCCCTTAAAACTCCAAGCAACCTGGGGAAGTTCTCATCTTTTACAGACATATAGCCCATGTGACCCAAAAAGTTGAAAAGTTGTGTTTTTAAGAGGTAAGGAAATGAACCCCCAAGCTGTCCCACCGGCCTCGGAGGCCTTCTGCTCGATGGCGAGGACTTGCTGCAGCAGGTCCTTGGCCTGGAAGTTCCAACTGAAATGGAAGCCACCAATCGGACCGCAGGTCTTGGTACATGTCTCCATTTGCCAGGGCAAGCTATGTGGGGTACCTATTTTTGACCCATAGCCAAATCGCCAACTGAAATATTTTCCCGAAGGGTAAGCTGGCAGCAACAGATGCAGAAAGCCAGCGGAAAAAAGGGATCCATTCAGGCGACATCCTCAAACACTTACACTCTAAATCGCACTGGTGGGCCGACAAGAGTCCATGTGAGTCATAATCAAAACACGGTATTAAAATGGTCGACCCGGAACCATGCTTCAAGAACTAAGATTTCGGCAGCTATTTCTGGTTGAGATTGTCCCTTACCAAGCTTCATCAATCCCCGGATTTTGATTGTGACTCACCTGGCGTCATGTACTCAGCTTCGAAACAAGTCTCCGCCATCACGGGCCGATTCAAAGGGACGGGAGTCCCACCCCGCCAAATGGCGGTCATCGATCCCCGGGTCTTGAGCAAGTGGCTCATGTAAATTCAGGTGCTGGTGGAAAGGGATCGGACAGGCGAAACGGTAAAAGCGCCACCCTTCGGTGGCGACACATGGACGGTTTCACGGCTTCCCCTGGCTACCTAGAGTGGCGAAACGCCTGGGAGGAAATCACCGAACATATGCGAGGTCCTTGAGTAGAGGGGATAGAATCAGGGTGCCAACTTTTTCCTGCAGTCTACTTTAGTAGGGGCACCCTTCCCCAAAAAAGGGTAAAAGGGCACCTAGCTGGGGGACCTAGCTGAGAGTGGTCACGCTGCGCCCTTTTGAACTACCATTGAGCCCTGGTAGTTTGAGGGATGCCAAAATGGATCCAGCAAGAAGGCAACAACGATGCAGTGTGGAAGGGGCGTCCCTCGCGGCTTAACGGCTGCCCGTTTGAACCCTGCCCCTTAAAGGCAGAACATGTACACGTGGCACGGAGACTGTTCGCACGAATCCTAACGTTCATGTCTTGCTTCTCTGGCATGTGGATGGGTCCGTAACGAAGCCGGCTTCAAAGAGCGCAGGACGTGAGCTGAGGGAACATCTTGCTGGTTTCCAGGGAAACTGCAGGAAAGCCCACACGCGAAAGGGCAAACCTGCGAGTTCAGTCAGGCAACTGGCGCTTGACCCCGGGAATCCACATCACTCAGTGAATCACGGGTACCTTCAGAAGGGTATCACAGAAACTGGGGTTCCCCGAAACCCGTCAGAATCAGAAGGCTGCATAAAGAACCCGTGGAGTTTGGCCCAAAGCAAGCAAAAGAAGCAAGAGCACGCAAACGGCAAGCTGAAGAATGGGAACAACCTTGGAGTCTCCAAATCTGACCCCAAATAAAAACTGGGTCAATGACCAACCATTATTTTGGGTAATGTTAACCCCAGATTAATAAGCCTCTGGTTGATTAATAGAGGGGTGTCCCCTTTTAGTGGGGATTCCTCACTTTTGGAGGGAACACCCCCCTAATAATGGGACGGGTTTATTAATCCCGGGTCAACAATAGTGACCAACCATTTTTAAGGGACAGAAGGAACCTCCAGGAAGTCCAAGTGTCCCCTGTCCCAAAAAAGTGTCATGGCTTGCGCAGCTGCATGGCGGCATCTGCCGACGATCACCCCGTGACCGCCACCAGCGGTGCCCCGAAAAAGACGACGCAGATCTGCGAACCGATTGATGGAAGCTACACGCCAGCCGAGATGTCACCCTCAGGGTCGGTGAGGGCCTGCAACAAATTCGTCCTGTGCGAAGGTCTCTAGGAACTTTACAGCATCCGCTAGATTCGATTGCGGCTTTGTATGCCTGACTGCAGGCATGAGCCATATGGTCGAATAGTTTTTTTTCTTGGAACATGGCAATCAGTGACTCACTTCCTAAGTGGACTGGCCAGAACAAGTTTAAACTTTATGTTTGCTTTGCCACTACAGAGGTATTCCCAAAACCTTGTGAGTGAGGTGAATAATTACGGAGCGCCCCCGCTTTGCCTGAGCCATTGTCAAAACAACCAACACCAAGCCACCAAGCCATCAACTTACCAGCCGCACAACCAACCAGCAAAAAACAACCAAAGAACCAACCAAAATCAACCACCAATACCAACCAACGAACAAAAAACAACATTATTAATCAAACAGCCACCCAAAACCACAAAAAAACAAAAAGCAAAAAACGAGCGACCGATCGACCGACGACCGACCAACATACTTAGAGTCTCCATGACCCTTACAAATTGGATCATTTCCCAAAAGAAAGGGGGCATTGACCCATTTTTAAAGGTCATATATAGACGCCAGGTACTAATCAAGGGCAAGCATTTCCCATAACTAACAATCAAAATGGGCTATTCTACCATGTCATGACAGAACTCCTGATAGCTCCGAAAGGCTCCCCCAAGGTACCAACATAATCACAACGAAACCAGCTCAACACCACAAGCAGACCCGCGTTCCCAGGAGCCGCGAGCAAGCGCCTTCGTCTCCCCGGCTACTGCCCCGGCCCGCAGCGCGCGCTGCGAGGACAACTGGCAGGGCGACAACTTCTGGCTGCTCCAGCGGGCGAAAGGTGGAAAACCGAAAAGGCGAAAGGTTACCTGGAGTCTCCTTCTGACCCTGAAAAAATGGGTCAATGACCCCCATGATTTTGGGTAATAGCCTCCGTTGCCTTCACTGATCTTTCCTGGGGTCTCCTTCTGACCCTCAAAAGATGGTTGGTCATTACCCAAATTAACAGTGGATTCTCGTGGGAACACTGGATGGGCTTCTTGTTGCCTAGGTCCTCCAGATTTGAGAGGTTAGATGAGTTGGTACCAACTTTTCTCCCCCCACAAAGGGGTTAAGAAGGGCACTTCTGGGGGACCTAGGTTAAAAAGATCAGTGAAGCCAATGGAGGCTAAAGAATTAGAATGTGAGTTTGGGATACTAGACAACTAAACGAAGTCATGAACATGAGAAAATCATGTTTGTAATTAATAAGCCCTCAGGTTTGGGGAATGTGGGGGTTCGGGGGTTTGGGGGCTGGGGAGTGTGGACTTTGGGGGTTTCTCAGTCTGCGCCACGGGTGGGTGTAGCATTACCTGGCTACCGTTTTGCCCTAGGTTCACAAGTATAGAACGGTCATGTTTACTTAGTGAGGTTTTCAAGGCGTGACATGGCGTAACCATGTTCATAGCCAGTGCTTCCAGACAAGCCACTATGGTAAGCAAGCACAACCAGGAGCACTGGGTAAGTCAACCAAACCGTGGTGAGACTTGAAGGCATGATTATCTAGCTACAAAGGGCTTAGAACCTGCCAGTAGGGGTTGACTCAAACAGCGAGTTTATCCAGGGTTGAACCAAAAAACTTGTCAGCTCATCCCCTGTTGGTTTAGATTTGGAATCGAACTCCTAATATTTTCGGGCAATGGAAAACCACCCTCCAAGCCAGCAATCCAAATCAATTAGCGGGAAGCTGATGTGTCCAAGCGTTGTTCTTCTCAATAATCAGCCGTTCCCCCTAGGCGATTGATCGTTTCTGAGTAAAAATCGGATCCCGAATTAGATGGGCAAGGTAGCCCGTGAGTAATCAATGACACTTGCCCCTGCCGGCCCCGGAAATGAAAGGCCAACCTTTCTGGACCTTTACTAAATTGAACCAAACATGGAATAGCAAAATAGGGCTGATCAAAAGGTCCTTTACCTGGGGTGACCATTAGGGAAGCCATCAAGAAAGATGACTTGCACCACAGGGGAAAAGCCACCCATGGTCATTTCGGGGCCCCAAACGGAATACCAAAAGGTGAATGGGTCGGGTTTACAACTGAGTCCAAGTCCGGTGAGCATCTCCAAAAGAAAGAAATCGATAATTTTTCATGGAACCCCAAAACAGCTGGTGTCCCTTCAACGCAGTTGCAGAGATCGATCTGGCTAGAAGCCTGGCGGGTAAATTTGGGGGAGAAGGTTTTCCAAAGATATGTTCCTGGAGTCTCCTTCATGACCCTTAAACAATGGTTGGGCATTACCCCAAATAATGGTTGATCATTGACCCGTTTTTATTTCTAGTCAGAAGGAGGCTCCAGGTGGTTGGGCCACAAGAAACCAGGCCAAGCACCTGAGAATAGAGAGGAGTTCCACACCCGCAACGAAACATGGCTGTGTTAAGGGACCCTTTAAATATACGTGCTTTGCCCATGAGAAGTTCCAGGGTACAAGGTCACACGTCAAAGAAAACCCATTGGTTGCCAGTGATGACCTTTTTGGACAAACACTAGGTCCTCCACTAGAAAAGGTTAGGATAAGGCTACCAACTTTTTCTGTCGTCTATTTTAGTATTTTAGTAGAGGGACCCTCCCCAAAAAGGGGTAATAGGGCACGACTGGGGGACCTAGATGAGGTCATGACCCCTTTGTGTTAGGAAAGAACACCATTTTTCATAGTCATGGAGACTGCGGGTTCCTTTTCAAACACCCTTCTGCCAGTTTCCAAAGGAAGGTGCATCCTCGTTCATGGGATCTACCAAAAGAAGGACCATGCTGGGGCATTCGGCTCAAGTTCAGTGAGGTTAACCTTACGCCTAATTATACTTCCTACCAAAATACCTTTCCAGGCTTAGGGATTGCTATAACTCACAAACCAGGTAGAAACCGACTCACTTAAACTCCAGTAAGTGGCGCTTCGGGATAGTTTTTGGGTGTTCACTTCAACTTGCCCAATTCAGGCGATCCAGGGGAGCCCAGAGAAGAATTATTTCTGCGGCACCGCCAAAAAACACAATTTTCCGACAGCAAAATTAAGGGCCTACGGTTCTTATCGGGGGCCTTCAGCTCTCTGCGGGGCAGCGTGTGGTTTGTTGGGCTCCCTGAGATGCAGCCAGTCGCAGGCTTGAAACACCAACTTGTAGACGCAAGCCACTTGTCAAACAGGCGGAGGCCGATTGGATCAAGATGGGGCCATGGTGTCTCAAAACAGGGAACCACCAACAAAAGTGAGTTTCCTTGCGATTGCCCTTAAAACACACACACACACAGACACACACACACACACACACACACACCAAAAGGGGTACTGTTTCTGGGTGGGCTGCTGTTGCCATTGTTTTTCTCATGCCATGCGTGCGCTTGCCTGCGTCACAGGTAGCACTGAAGCACTCCGGCAAAACTCTGCCACAAGTGCGGCCCGTGCGGCAGGCCGGCTGTCAACCAAATCGCGGTCAACGCCAAACACTCCAAACCATCTTGGTGTTCACGAGGTAGTTGTCAATCGTACGGTTCACCATAGCTCGCGGCCCTACCCGCCTGCTAAGTCTAGCAGTGCGGCCAATAAAATCCTCGTCCTGCGAGCAGCTTTCCGCCACAGGGTTCAGGGCAGAGGCTGCCGTTGTCGACAGCAAGGTGTGAAAGCAATGCCACAGCATGTGGTGCTTGGGTAGGAGCGCAAACCATAAAGCTCCGCGATCGTGCATGATTGCAGACAATTTGCATATCCAAACAACTGATAGCAACCTGTTCCCAAAACTGCTCATTTAGCGACACAAACCCAAACCATAGACTCCAAACCAGGGCTGCACAGTTCCTCTTCCGTTCCGTTCTTCGTTCCTGGCAAAACACACCATACTTCGAATAGTGATAGATTCCCTTTCAAATCAGACACAAATACTGTAACAGCATACATAATACTTTTTTCCAAATGGAAGACGGTGCTGCCACCTCCAAAAGCACCGATCGACTCCTTTTTTTGCTGCCTGCTCACAAAAAGTGGTTCCAGCGGCAGAACAACAAATCGGTCTATTGTTTGGTTACTGTTGACCCCTCTGCAAAACGTGCATAAATATGTGTGGGTCTACTACGGAAACTCCACTAAAAGCTTCCCTCCCAAAAAGGTTAAGTAACCAAAGATCCGCCAAGTCAGCCATAAAAAGGGGTGAGAAAGAGCACCTAGCTGCGGGACCTAGACTCAGATGCCTAGCGGCCATGGGAAAAAAGGGCATCCTTTCTGGTTGCTTGAGTTTCAAGGGACCGGAACCCTTCCCCAAAAAAAACGAGAAAAAAAAGGCGGAGTCCACTGGCTGCAACTGGGTAGACGCGCTGAACCGCCGTTTCGCCGAGACGGCGATCGAACGGCGGAGCGATCGACGCCTTGGCCACGGCGGTGGCGTTGGCGCGGAGCTCCACCGCCCGGCGCTCGAAGCTCTGGGCCTGCTCCTGGGAGGATGCGCGCGCGCGAGGCACGCGAGCTCCAAAGCGGTGGCGAAAGGGTGGGGCTCAAGTAAATGTGCCAAAACGGCACCATGGCAAATGGAACCAAAGACTCAAACCTGCCATAACCCTAGGTCTTTAATTTTGCGCCACGCCCATGGAGCTGGAGAAATTTAGACCTCGAGAAACACTTTAGGAGTGCCAACGATCGGATACGCAAAAACAAGACACGCCCAAGTGGGGGTGTCGGTTCTCAGAGTGCCCTGGAGTCTCCTTCTGACCCTTGAAAACGGGTCAATGTCTCCTTCTGACCCTTAACAAATGGGTCAATGACCCCATTATTTTGGGAAATGACCCCATTTGTCTTAGTGGCATGGAGACTCCAGGTGGGTGATAGCCGGTAAGTTAAGCTAACTTGAGTCATAGTCGTGGTCTACCCAGAAGTTCTGGCGGCTGCAGAACCATGTAAACAATTAAGAAAGCGGCTGCGCCCAGATATGGCTGGAATTACCCCGCACTAACCTTCATCTACCTGGGTTCTAGCTGATACCTGGGGCGCTAGTTGCCAAGTTGGTAAGGAGGTTAGTGGTTGGTAACTGTCGTTAGTCATCTAGCAATGGTTGGAACCTACTTACTAAGTTGTTCGAACACCCAAGTAAGTTACGTCCACATGGGATCGCCCTTTGTGGTCTCAGAGCACGTTGGTAAATGCCCTACGACTAAAAAGCCGCTTATCAGAAGCTTAACGCTGATAGAGAAAGCTGACGGCAAGTCGGCTCAATTGGTCGTCTGGTATATATTGTCCTTGCCGCTCCGTGCAAAGTGCGCACCATGCACTAGCAAATAGCCTATGCGCAGCACATCGTTGGCCACAGGCGTGAACTTATCAACGTATCATACTTGTCGCGCGCCGCACGCCCTTAGGCAGTCTTCACCTTGGGCAGTCTTCACTTGACCTTACTGTATTGTGGATCCGCCCTTCTGTTTCCTCCCTTGAACACAGAAGACGCGTGGAGTATGCGGTTTCTTGCGTTCCGACCTGGCAAACATTCCCAAAGGCTGCCGTCTGGCCTTCCCCCAAAACTGAGGCCTGAGCTCGAGGGATTTTTGCCCAAGTCTGCGATTCTTTCCCTTCAAACCCATGGAGCTCCTACAATACTCCTAGTACCTGGAGTCTCCAAGTCTGACCCTTTGAATAAAAATAGGTCAATGACCCGGCCCGTTCTTTTGGCGAATGACGTATCCACCTTTTTTTTTTCCGGGTCAGATCCGGAGAAAAACTCGTAGTCGTAGACATCCTTCATTGCCAAAGGCAAACGGCTTTTTAGATTGGCCCACGGTGAAGGAGGGTGTCCCTCCTCCCTCAAAAGCCGCTCCGAATCCCCAAGCATCCAAAACCAGAAACTAAAACTTGCTTGAACATATCTTCAGATTGCTCCAACCCCTTTTGCTGGACCCATGGAAAATACCTACATTCCAAGTGATTCCCTGTAGAACCAGCAGGGCCAACAAAACCGCCTGGACGGGTCCAAAACACCGCTTCTCTTCTCTGCCTTGTTCACACATTCAGAAGCCAGAGAACAAGGCTTCATTGGAGTTTAGGTATTCCTGACCCCCTATTGACCATAAATAACTGTTCCCATTTGGTGGGAACATCAACGTTCTAGTGGTTTCCCCAAATTCACACAAAGCCAAAGAACAGAGGTCATGACAACCCATTTTGATCAGGTGTTAATATTATTAGCAAACAATCATTTCCTGCCTTTCCCTGGGTTCATTGGAGTTGAGGTGTTAATATTATTCAGCAAATGAAAAAAATGGATTCTGATCAGTATGGGGTGACAACCCATTTTTGAATCGGGTCAGAAGACTCCAGGGTTACCGCGTTCAACCAATGTACATGGGCTGTAACCATGGTTATTACTGGGAGCCCCAGTGCCTCCAGTTGTCACTGGAGTAGGTAACCGATCGATATGGCTACCTCTAGGTTTCGCATCATGGGGGTTTCAGCATGGCCTACTACTGCGGCAAGCGCCTGTTGCACTGGGATGGCGATTTTTTGGGGGGGGCCCTATACAATGAAACTCAGATGCCCAGTGGATTTCTATGGGGGAAAAAAAAAAACGGCATCCCTTTTTTGGTTGGTTGACTTGAAAGGAATCGGAACCCTTCCCCCCAAAAAAAGTTGGAAAAAGGGAGCAACCTGGTTGCGACTGGGCAAAGGGGTGTGTCCACTTCGATGTTTCTTAGAGCCCTGAGATGGCCATGGCATGGTTCTTACTAGACCCCCCGGCGCTTCCAGTTGTCACTAGGTAACCGATCGGGGCAAAAATCCGGGACGAGGGGGTGGGGGAGGGGGAGAGAGTGGGTTGGGGGGAGGGGGGGAGGGGGGGGTGGCTAGCTGTAGGTTTTACCTCAGGGTTTCCCCATCTTTGGAGAAGGCTTGAGCCATGCCATCGGGAGGTTTCACGCCGATCCCGTCTCCTCAGCCTGGCTTTCAAGGTTCAACTCCTGGAAGCGACGGGAAAAGAGCACTTAAGCAGGGATCCTTACATTGGTTCCCCCGGCTTTGGTTGGTTTTGCTTGAAAATACCAAAAGACAAACCGAACCCATTGTAACAGGGATCCTTACATTATACACCTGAGCATTGCCTTGTAAATGGTGGTTTCCCTTTATTGTGGTGGAAAAAGCCATGTTTCAAATGGGCAAAACGTGTCTTTTAAGGAGCCCTGTTAAGGGAACCCCAAATCGTAGTTACATAGGTTCAACCCCCCGCCCCGAAAAAAAGAACGACTGGCCCAATTCGCAGAGTGAAACTCAAAAGATAAAATCGTGTTGTTTTGCATGAACCCCCTTTGTTTTCATGGTGGTTTCAATCCAGGCTATGGCTATGTGTCAAAACAGGGGACCCTAAAAAAGGCGGCGTTGCCTTTTGGATTTCCATTAAACCAATCTGAAACGGGTACCCACCAAAACACACACAGCCATATAAATCAATGGAAACCCCCTTGCAAATCCGAATGAACTCAACGCGTCGACCCATTCGAGTTGACATATTTTGCGCGGGGTTGCAACACATTCGAAGTAAAATCATTCACAAGGAGCACACCCTTCCGATCTTTCCGGGGCCAGGGTTTCTTACCCTGGTTGATGGCCAGGAGGGGATTCATCACTAGAGGGAACATCCCCCAGGACAGGATTACTCATCCGAAGTCAACATTACCTGTCCGGCAACTGGAAGCATAGGGTAAAAGAAGGCCTCATGAACAACACAACCACCCGAACCCCGTGGATGTAAACTCACTTTCATTCGCGCAGTATTCCTCCAGTTGGTCGTTGAGCTGCAAAATTTGCGAACTGGAAACCAGCCATGGATGTGTTTTTCGAATCTTCGCTTTTGGCTTGGGGCCTGGGGGGGGGGGGGGTACCATGGCTTGGGTGGTACAGAATGAACACCAAAGCCACTTGGAAATCATGGTTGAAACCATTATTGGTTGGTACTGAGATTCGGCCATCGAATCATTGGTTTTCTTTGGTGCTGCAAAATAGGTTTCATCCCTCCACGGCCTTTTTTTAGACCAACCCCCTCACATTTCCGAGAAAGTTGTTTGAGGTTCCCTTTCTCAGCTGGAAGTTGACCTGGAGCGGGACACATACCATGGGTGTGTCGGTTTTCAAGGGCGCGCAAACCTAAAAATTTGTGGTGCCTGGTTAGCCAAGTTGCGATCCCATTTTTTAGTCACTGTTGCAGCTTTTTGGGGTAAAGTAGATGGAAGAAAACGGCAACTGGCCAACCAGGTGGCTCCTTATGGCTTCCCACAAAACAAAAGGCACTCACCGAACCAATACTACCATGTTCCTGGACCGCCAATGGACCGATTCTGTTTCCTGCCGCTGGTACCTCTTTTTGTGGGCAGGCAGAAAACAAGGGTCCTTTGGGGGTCCAGGTTGTTTGCCCTCAAGAAGTCAAGTTCCAAGACTAGCAGATTATGCGCCCAAGCAATAAATTGAGTCCCGGCGTAAACACCAACAACAGCGCCTTGCGTTCAACGTGGCCAACCAAAAAAAATAAGATCCTTTCAAAAACTCAGAAGGTCCCAACTGAAGCCCAGCCGTGTCATCACACCAGGTTTTTTTCTAGGCTCAGTGCGCTTGTTGGACGTGTTTATTCAAAGACCCCACCACTTTGGACAACCCACTGCAAACCGGGGGCAAGTCTACAGCATCTCATCTTCTGGTTGCACTCCACACTTGCCAAGTGACCTTGGTTAAAACAAGGAACTCTTGTTTGCCTTGACTACGTTCAGTGGGGCCTTCCAAGCAAAAGGGATCCTAGGGTAAGGTTCTGCAAGGTCTATTGGCGATGGCAAAAAGCCCACTTTTGAGTTGGTTGGTTTTGACGGAAGGCTCGCCATCAAGAAACAACTAGGTCAAGGGAACCACCTTGCCAGCAGCTCCATTTGGGAATGGCTGCGGGGTCCCTTATTTTGAAGATTTTGAATTCTGAGAGCCATCGTTCAGGGGATACATTGAAGGATGTCAGATTTCAATGCACGAGGCACGGGTGCCTTTTTGGAAAGATGGATGGCGCTGGACGATTGAATGCAAACTGCATCCCGCGCCATCGATTCACTTCCTGACTGGAGGCTCACATGCCCTTGTCGGACCTAGAAAAAGGTGATCACCCTTTGGGCCATTGACTATGGACCAAACTAGCCAAAAAAGGCTCTGGTGTGTACCACCCAAAGCGTCGAGACCCAAAAAGAGAGTCCAGGAACTCAGGGTCGGAAAATAGGATCAACGAAACTGACCCACAGAAAGAAACGAATTCAGCTTTCCTGTTACTGGTGGTTTGGATTGGTTGGAGGTTAGGGCATGGTTTCCCATTTACCCTCCTGAAGAACAAGACCCCACCAATTGAGAGTTGCCTGACAGATGCCACTAGTCTAGGGGTACTTTCCCCATTCTTTCCAGGGATCCTTCTTTCTAGAAAACCTCCGGAAACCCAGGAATCAAAAACAAAAAACGGATCCGGATTTTGGAAAGAACGATCACTGAAAATAATGGAAACGGAATCAACCCCTAGAATCCCGCCCAGGAGTGGCGACAACAACGGAATCAACCCCTACGCGCCAATCAACGGATCGATCCGCGCCGTCCTTGACCACGGCTTCAGCTGCTGACTCGGCGGCTCCTGCCGTTCCTTGAGCTCCCTGTAGCCTCAGAACCCGCTCCCCTTATTCAGTGTATCTAACAAGGGGACGTATGTGCATTTGTTTACATCAATGGATGCCAAATAGAGATTTGCATGTATATATATACAGAAGACATATGTGTAGGTCTACATATGTATCCACATCGCGGCTCATGTGCGTTGACACTAAGGCGAGCCAGCTGCCCTCTCTAGCCGGAAGGTAACTTCAAGGCATCTCAACTCAGCCCCTGATGCATCCATTGTATTGCTGAGGGCTGAGGTAGGATGGATGGAGTTAGTTCGCATCTCTTGGGTCTCTTGTCCACTTCTTGGACACTGACAGTTCAACTCCTGGGTACAACCTCTATATCCAGGTGGTGCCGGGTTTTTAACTCCCTTGGCCGCTGGGATCCAATCATGAATGCAAGAGAGAGAACTGAAAAGAGATGAACCTTCTCCTCCCGCGGCTCTTGAAAATGAGCGGTTGGCTTTTTCTCCCTGGAGAAGCATTGGGCCCATTTGCCCGGGGCCCAGAAAGGTTCTCACCCTAAGCCCCTCCATAGTGCTTGAGTGTTCAAGCTACTTACTAAGCAGGTTATGAACATGGTTACAAGTCAGCCGACCCCGCTTACGCCACTTGTAACCATGCTGATATCCAAATCGTAGTACGGGTGTGTCATATTGTTGAGCATACCCCTGTTTTTGTGGCGTTGCAGAGGGAAACCTTAAACAGAACACCTCCATTTGAGGGGGGTCCAACCTTTCAAAAGGAACCCCAGCCAACAAGTTTCTAAGAAACTTTTGGACGCGGTGGGGTGCCTTAGGAACCCCCCGACTCACATGCGCCAAACAATTGACGCCCTTCCGCCCATAAGCCAACCGCAGCGCAACCCACCAAAAACTCCCCGCAGGTTAATATCTTGGCTTGGCCCAACTCTGGGGCAAATAAACCCAACATTGTAATATGCATTTTGTTGTGCAAATGCCGTTTGTTTGCGGCTTTAAAGGCACACCGAAAAGAAGCCACTCTTTACTAAATAATGTTTTGCTTTTTGTTGCTGTACTGTACTCTCTTTCTTTCTTTTTTTTTTGGGGGGGGGGCGGGGGGGCGGTCAGCTGCAGCTAAACAAAGACACACCCATGTTTAGTCAACGCTAAGCTGTAGCAGAAAACTAGTTCTGCTACACAGCTTCGTTTTGCAAGTTACCGCCTGCGGATCAAGCCCCAGTTCTGTGGGGTTCACCTTAGCGGGATAGAACCCAGGTGGCGACGGCCAAAGGTCCAAGTGGCTGTGGCTCAAAAGGTGGTACCAAAATGGCACCCTGGTAAATGGAACCAAAGCTCAAAACTCGCGGCCTCCATGCCCCAGCGGAATCCTAGGCCAAACAAATTGTGCCCACTGGGAGTTGCCTTGCGACCCTGTAAACAGAAAGGTACCTGGTGGGCTTTCCACAAGGCCTGTCTTTTTTTGTGTGTGGCTCGCTGTTTTTGTCTCTGTTTTAGTTGTTTTTGCTTGGGCTTTCCAGACTTGGTGCTGTAAAAAAGGGGTCACTAGGAAGTGGTCACGACCGCGCCTTTGCCGATAAAGCAAAAGTGTAAAATGGATGGTCAGACAAACACACCCATTGATCCCCCTTTAGTTTGGTTTGGAGAAATTACAGCTTATTACTGTCTCAAAGGATCCAAGTACCTCATATTTCCGCAGATTTGTTCGGAATCTGTAGACGAACGCCCTGTTTCACCGAGCCCAAACCGTAAATATAGGGTATCAAGAGACCCTGTAAACATGTGCTCTGCCATGGGAAGTTCTAGGATACAACATCACACGCCAAAGAAAATCCACTGGTTGCCATTGACGACCTTTTGGGACAAATAGATGGCTCTGGTAAATGGATAACCAAAACAATCTAAACCAGTGGAACCCATCTATCTCTAACAATCTAAACCAGTGGAACCCATCTGGCTCTAACAATCTAAACCAGTGGAACCCATCTGTCTCTAACAATCTAAACCAGTGGAACCCATCTGTCTCTAACAATCTAAACCAGTGGAACCCATCTGTCTCTAACAATCTAAACCAGTGGAACCCATCTGGCTCTAACAATCTAAACCAGTGGAACCCATCTGTCTCTAACAATCTAAACCAGTGGAACCCATCTGCCTCTAACAATCTAAACCAGTGGAACCCATCTATCTCTAACAATCTAAACCAGTGGAACCCATCTGGCTCTAACAATCTAAACCAGTGGAACCCATCTGTCTCTAACAATCTAAGCCAGTGGAACCCATCTGTCTCTAACAATCTAAACCAGTGGAACCCATCTATCTCTAACAATCTAAACCAGTGGAACCCATCTGGCTCTAACAATCTAAACCAGTGGAACCCATCTGTCTCTAACAATCTAAACCAGTGGAACCCATCTGGCTCTAACAATCTAAACCAGTGGAACCCATCTGTCTCTAACAATCTAAACCAGTGGAACCCATCTGTCTCTAACAATCTAAACCAGTGGAACCCATCTGTCTCTAACAATCTAAACCAGTGGAACCCTTTTTCTTCTCTAACCAAACGATGCCATCAAAAGGACGAGCCTATGCTCGGTGCGTTGCCACCTGCTCTCTCGACAAGGCCCCCAGCATGGCAAGCGACGCCGGCGCTGGCGCCGGGCAAGAGCAACCGCTCCAAGGAACCGAGGAACCGGCTGAACCATAGGTGGCCTTTTGGCAAAAATCGATGGGTTTCCCTGGTAAATGGGTTATAAACCTCTATTTTCCATTTTAATGGTCATCTACTGAACCATGGAATAAACCATGGTAATTGGAACCATCTGAACCAGGAATCGTCCTCTATTTTTGGTCAGCAAACCAAAAAGGACATCTATGGGCTGAACCGGGTGCATTGACTTTCGGACGCATTCAGAAATATCCCCGACACCCAATACCCACTTTGTTTCGGGTAAGATGTAGACCTGTTACTTCTGTTTTACCCTGGAAAACCTGGTCTTCCAAAACACACCCAAAAACAAGTATGTTGAGTAGGGGGCATGTGAAAGCCTGATGAAAACCAAAGCCAAGTCACAATAAGCCACTGTCAAGGCCAGAAACATGACGTAGCTAAATATGTGTTTGCCGACGGGGGCTTCTATGCATCAGTTCTCAAACAAAAGCAGTGGATAGCAACCGAGTTGTGGAGCTTACTGATAGGAAACAAACGCTGTCACAGTTGCTGGCTCGGTTCGGCTCGCTTGATATTACTGTGTGGTTCTATTACACCTACTTATCTGGGAGTCAGGGCATTTCTGAAATCCTTGGTGTAGTTTGCTTCTCCAACTTCCGAGTTCTGAGGATGGAATATCCTCTGCCGCCGAGCTGGATACACACCAAAAGTACTCATCTCTCATGTTTAGATAGTTTCTTTCAATAAAAAGCTAGTCTTCCAAACCCCTCCTCATGGGAGGGTAGCCGTCCAGGAAAACACGAACCGCGATTGGCCTCCCCCCGTGCAACACCCGCAATGTGATCAGCGACCTTGTTGGCCTCTCACGGCAGATGGATGTACTGGATGGCACGCACCTTCTTGGCCACAAAGGTTCGCAACTGCCCCAGCAGACCGGCAATGTCAGGGCGCTTGGATCGCCCCTCATACTGCATGAAACGAAGATGCGGCAAGATGTCCCCCTGGACGATGACACCAACCCTCCCTGCCTTCCCTGCAAAATCTAGAACGGTCATGGAGACCATTCTAGTGCGTCACAACGCAAAGCCTGAACCTACCTTCAGCTTGTCAGGCTTGGGTCCGTCGTCCGGAAAAGTGAGGTCAACAAATACAAACACCGTTCTGAACTAGGTCCTCCAGTACAGAGGTTAGAATAAGGGTGCCCTGCTTTCTGTAGTCTACTTTAGTAGGGGAACCCTCCCCCAAACGAAGGGTAAAAGGGCAATACTGGGGGACCTAGTGAATCTTCAGGCAACTTTGCTTGGGTGCTGCAGACCCCCCAGCAAAAAGTTTAACCTTTTGCAGGTTGCGAGGAAATATGCGGGGTATCCAACAAATATGAAAGTCCAAAGATCCAACCCAAGAGCAGTGGAGTTAGGAAGTAGGTTATAACCATAGTTCTAAGTAGGGAAACTGTGGTTGGTTCCCTTACCATAGTTATAACCTACTTACCTGACGTGGGTTCAACATCCAAGCAGTCCATAGGTGACCTTTGGGAAAAACATCTCGATGGCTGTCCCTGCTAAATGGAAAAACTACCAGGATAAATCTCGATGGGTTTCCCCCAACTAAAACCATATTTCTAGCAACAAAAGTTAACAATTTGATCTGAGGAATCATTCCGGAACTCTCGAAGGGTTCAAAAGGCATCCCTATCATCAACGCCGCGCGCGGCACAAGCTACTTGCAGCTTACTGTAAGGGCCTAAATGCTTGGAACCGCAAAATCCTGAAAGTACTTTTTTCAGGGGTTGCCCATACCTGCAGTCTCCTTCCAACCCTTTAAAAGTGAGTCAATGACCAACCATTATTTTGGGTAACGACCAACCATGTTTTTTCTGGTCAGATCCGGAGATTCCAGGTATAAGGTTACGTCAGGTAATGGTTATAACTATGGTAAGGGAACCAACCACAGTTTCCCTACTTAGTTCTATGGTTATAACCTACTTCCTAACTCCACTGCTATGTTCAACCCACAGATTCCAAGGTTAACAAAGCGACGTGGATACTCTGAGGCTCCGCGAAACGAGAGATCTGGAACCATGAGATTCTCAATTGCCCAATGGACCCAGGAACAAAAGGTGATCACCTTTTGGCACCTTTACGAATGGACCAACATGGGGAAACCAAAAGGTCAAAAGCTTGGCTTTGGGCAACTGAGGATTCACGCACCCAAAGTTGGAACAAAGCTGCCCTGGCCATTCACGAGGTGACTCACCGAACTCAATATCAGCCCAGAACCCAAGGCTCCATTGGCATACATCTCATATGTGCGCTCTTGTTTCTTTCTGGGATCTGCTGACGAACTTCCTTGAACCAAGCCCCAAACTGTAATGGAGTACCCAGGGACCCGCTAGGTAATATAATATAGACATAAGTATATACATACAAACAGATGGCAGCAGCGCAAACCCCAAAACCTAAACGGCCCTGAGAATGCAAAACATCATGGGACTAAAGCCAAATGATCCACTGGGTTTCGCAAGACACTTTGCACTAGGCCTCTAAAACCAAGCCCTTTCCACACTTGCACAACAATATGATTTCTCACCCAAAGAAAGGAAATGCTCGCGGAACGTTGAACCACAAAAGTGGCCACGGCTGAGACCCCTGCTTCGACCGAGAACGCGCGCACCTGGCGCGCTGAAAGCGCTGAATGCGCTTGGCGCTGCTTGCAGGTCTGGCACTCGCCTCGTCAATCTGTTGGAGTAGTGTTGACCCCAACCCCGGAATAATAAACCCCTGCTTGATTAATAGGGGGTGTGGGGATTCACCACTTTTGGAGGGAACACCCCCTAATAATGGGACAGGTTTATTCATCCTGGGTCAACATTGTTCTTTTGAGGGAACCTCTTTTTGGATTTTTGAAGGGAAGCCGAAAGGAAAACCACCCCATTTGCGGGGTCCTCTAAAAGCAGACGTACTCATATGTTCATCAACCCCAGTTTAATCCTTCCCAAAAAAAAGGAAAAAGGGCACCACTGGGCAACTGGGATTCGTATGCTGTCAACATTGCTCTGCTACTTGGACCAACAGCCCTTCGGAGACCGAAGGTCTAAGAACCAGCTGCCCTCGGGAGTTTGTTCAGACCAATGCAGAAAAAAACACATGTGGATGTTCAACCAATGTCAGGTTATAGCCATGGTTACAAGTGGTTGGTAACTACCAGGGTAAGTAGCCGAGTACCCCCCAACTGCGTGAAACTTCTTACTTACAGCCCCCAGAAACAATCAAAGAGACCGTGACATGCGAAACGGGACCGACGGCCGACGACGAATGGCCGCCCGATCAGTGTGTTCCGACAATTTCAGACGCTGACTTTCAATGGCAACCTTGATCAAGCTGGCAAATCCCAATGATGTTGATACTTCTCACTTGTCATTTTAGTCATCTTAGTCTCCCAAAAACACCCAAGCAACAGGTACCTTCAAAAGGCAAGCCGCGCATCTGGGGTTGAGGCATGCAACACACACAGCAATTTGGGCCAACGGGGTTGCACCTCCGAAGGCCATCACGCGACGGAATTTTGGTCCAAACCTGCTTTGGTACCTGGAGTCTCCTTCTGACCCGAAATATAAATGGGTCAATGACCAGCCATTATTTGGGACAATGACCAACCATCTCTTAAGGGTCAGAAGGAGACTCCGTTTTGGTCGTTGATTTTCAATCGCCGCAGGTCCTAGCGAGGTCTGGGCACCAAAAAACCGGAAAGGGCAGGAGCAGAGCTTGCAACTGTTGCACGCCGTGGGCAATGCTTTGCGACGCACGGCTCATATATCTTCACTAGGTCCGGTGCTTCCAGTTACCACCATAGTAGGTACCCAGGGATCCTTGCCTCTAGGTGTTGCATCACGGGTTTCACCTGGTTACCTACTATAGTGGCAACTGGAAGCACTGGGCTAAATAACCTAGGTCCTCCAGTAGAGAGGTTGGAATAAGGGTACCAACTTTTTCTGTAGTTTATTTTCGTAGGGGAACCCTCCCAACCAAAAAAGGGGTGAGAAAGGGCACCTAGCTGGGGGACCTAGTATATCTTCAGCTTGCCCTTTTTAAGGCGTGGGCGCCTATTGCAGTTGAGTGGACCTCTTCGAGGTCGGGGCGATCGAACTTGTTCGATTCGCCAAGTTCGAAAGTAGTGATCGCCACTTGGGGGTTTTCGCCTCCTGGCTATAAATCCACTAATAAGAAACAAACAATAATAAACAACATATAGAATGAACATATATCACCTTATCCTTTAACAAATTAAATCTAATGGTGTCATACTCATGGCCATTCATATTCACTACACAACCATAAATTAAAAACAGCGGTTGGCCCCACCGAACTTGGGACTAAGTGGGCTGTAGCCCAACTTGGCGAATCGGACACCCAAGTAGATACCCCAACGCACCGATGCGTGGAGTCATTGTCTCACTTGGGTGTGGGTCAAAATAGGGTAACCCCAGATTGCCACCCTGGCAAATGGAAACATGGACTAAAACCTGCGTTTCTTTTGGTGACACCCGCTTCACAATTCCTGTGTTGAAACAAGTAGCCAGTTCCCCCCCAAAATGCCCTACTTGATCGCCCACGCAGTCTCACCAGGTCCTCCAGTAGAGAGGTTAAAATAAGGGCACCCTTATTCCTGTAGTCCCCAAAAAAAGTTGGTAAAAGGGCACTACTGCGGGACAGCTCAAGTACAATTTGTGACTTCCGGAGATGCTTGGGCCCGGAGATGCTGTCTGTGATACCCGAGCTGGCAATCCCTGTGACTATTTTTGTCACCTTGAAGGAATTGTCCAACGCTAAAAGCCTCAACTTCCACATCCAACCGAAGGGGTCCGCTTGAGGTCACGCCAATCCAATATCGCCAAAGGCACAGTGCTTCGTCGACTTGCAGCTCCGGAGTGGGTGCTGGAGGGGTCAATCCTGACAGGGACTAGGCGGTTTTACTTTCTGAGATCCCCCTTAGGGGGGAGGGCATCTTGCACGTATCTTTTCACAAGGATGCTTGTCACACTAGCCCTTATGCACTCAAATATGACACCCTGGGTCTGCTGAAAAAATAAGCGCCGCTGTCGAGCCAAAAGCTTGCCCTCTCCCTCTCTCTTCCTAGCATGAAAACACCACCCCTGGCAGGATATCATGCCTGGGCACCCAAGATTCCGCACAACGGCAAGACTACTTGGGTGTTCATTGCCGAGCTAGTAAGTGGTTGCCAACCTAGGTTACAACCCACTTATAAGTCCCTGTAGTTGGGCTAACCTTGCTAGAAGCGTGTGCAACACCAAGTGGCTAACCAGTTAGCGAATCGAACACCCAAGTAGGGCGCCAAAAACTCGCCAGGCACACCCTCCAAGAAGTCCCGCCCTGCAACAAACCACCAGATAGAATGGGCGTCTTTTTGCAGGAAACCCCCTTTCGGTTGGTTTTAAGAGGAAACCAAAAGGCAAACCATCAGATGCGCATCATCTTCTGTTTTTTTGGGGGGGTCCCCAAAAACACACACCCAAATGGATGTTCAACCCCTGTCAGGCAGGTGATGTCACCATTGTTCTGGGCGGTCGGCCGGAATAAAGATACAACCCCGACACCACCCCAACAAAATCCATTTGCCTAAGCCCTCCAGAAAAGTAACACATATTATCCAGTGGTGATAGGTTCTCTTTAAAACCAACAAGGGAAAACATATTAAGCAAATGGAAGCATGCCAGGGATCTGCACGCCACAAACCAGGGCAACGACTTCCCTCGTACATCCGGCATGCCTGGGCATGGGGCCCTTCTCCTTGAATCCCATTTTTAACCTAGCCATGGAAACCTCTGAGACAGTCTTCCAGGTCCTCCAGTGGAGAGGTTGGAATAAGGCTACCAACTTTTTTCTGTAGTCTATTTTAGTAGGGGAACCCTCCCCCCAAAAAAAGTTGGTAAACACCTCAGGTTTGAGATATGTCTCCCAAAAAACGGGGCTTGCCACCCAAACAACAACATGGCCATTCGGAAAAAAGAAAACACCGCTCCGTGACTTTGCTTTGCTATGAAAACGCCACGAAATGGGCAGCGTGCAATCCAACTCCCTACCCGCGGAACCTCAGAAGGTACCAAGCAAGGGACCCTTGCCTCGAGTCTTACTTTAGGCTTGCCACGCCGAAGGGTTACCTACTATAGCGGCCACAATGCCGAAGAAGCACTGGGAAGGAATATCGCGGAACGTTTGTTGCGAATGGAAACCAGCTAAACCGCGAAACTACGTCACTAAACCAACTAAAAAACACAAACACATTTGAACAATTCAAAAAACAAAAACAAAACAAACAACAAAAAAACCAAAAAACTTAAACAATTAAAAAACAAAAACAAAAAAAGAAAGTAACAACCTAAAAGACGAAAAACCTAAAATCCACTAAACACCTAAAACCTGGGGAACCTGCTGGGAACCTGTAAACCCCCCCACGAGCTTTTTCAGCTATCTCTGTTCGGGGTGATTTGGGCAGCTTTCACGGAGGGTGGAGATTCGGTTCAGAGGGTTTTGTTTGGGCTGTTGGGGATACCACCTTGGCGTATTTCAGTTAAAAACCGCAATTAGGTCCCAACTCAACAACCTACCGGGGGGACCTGGACTTGTGCTTCTGGGTTTTGCCATGTCGGGTTCACTTCGCGCACAACTCTTGATTTTGCTGGGCTTTCTTGTTTTAGTGGAAACCCTCTAAACCACTAAACTACCGCTAAACCAACTAAAAACCACAAACACTTGTAAACAAAACTAAAAACCACTAAACAAAAAAACGACTAAACACCTAAATGACTAAACAAAACAGACCTAAAAGTCTAAACGACTAAAAACCTGAAGTCATAAAAAAAAGAAAACACGAAAAACCTGGATGGCCTTAGACCCACCCAGTGCTCAAAGCCGCACCTCGAGGGTTCAGCTCGGGCTCCAGCGAGTGCGCCGGCTCCCGCTGAAGCCTCCGCGGCCAAGGTTGTCTTAACATGAAACCTGTGTATGTGTAAATATATATATAGATATAGATGTAGGGATGCTATATGTACAATTTATATATATATATACAAAATGTTTATGTATATGCATATGTATATATGTATACAATGTTATATATATATAATGAATATATATATATATATATCTACGTATGTGTATACATATGTACATAAATATATATTCATGTATAATGTGTCTATATATATAATGTATACATTTGCATATATGTACATACAAATATATATATATATAGGATATACGAATAAATATGTATACATATGTACATACATGTATGTATACATATACATATACATATATATATATATGCATGCATACTGTATGTATACATGTGCATATATACATATATATACATACGTAAATCGAGAGATATGGATATGAAACATATACATATGTGTAGCCATACAGGTATACAGCCAAGAACATGGGTATGAACCCACTATAATAGGTAGCCCTTCGGGTTTCTTAGCTCTAAGCTTTGTATGATGGCTCAGACAAAAACTGTGGCCTTTTGGAAAAATGGATGGCCTGGTAAATGGAATAAACCATCTAATCCAGGGCCCTCTACTTTTTAAGCAAACCAACCAAAAAGGGCACCTATGAGTGGCTCCCTTCGGAAAATTGACCAAACCCGCATTTTAGGGCACTAGGTTTCTTTCGGGAAAGAGAACATTTAAAGCAACATGGCTTCCTTCAACAGAACATCCAGTCCCAAAAGTGGCCGCACAAAACTCCTCCTCACATCCTGTGGGTGGAGTGCCCCTCCAAAAAAAGTCAAACTTGTTGTTTGCCACTAATCTTGACCCAGGATTCATAAACCCGTCCCACTATTAGGGGGGCGTTCCCTCCAAAAGTGGTCATCCCCACTAAAAGGGGACACCCCCCAATCAAAATCAACCAGGGGTTTATTAATCCGGGGTTAACATCAAACTTGTCTTCCCCTGAGCTTAGGGAATAAGTTTAGGTTGCCCTCGATCTGAGCAAAGGGTTTCCAGTGGATCCGAGTACCTGATACTAGGTCCTCCAGTAGAGAGGTTAGAAAAAGGGTACCAACTTTGCTTTCAAAATGGCTAAAAGGGCACTACTGGGGGACCTAGTGATATCTTTGCGGCCATTGACGAATCCCCTTTTTCAGCAAACGAACTCCCTGCAAATCCGGGACCCGTACCGTTTGGGACCATTTGGGACCCTTTGGGTACTGCAATTAAAAGTTCCACCAAAAAGGGAAAAATCCAAAGATCCGCCATAACTCACTTCCTGAACGGACTGGCCCAAAAAAACATATGAACTTTTGATTTACCACTGAAACGGTCTTCCCCCCAAAAAAAGCAAAGTTCCTGAACTCAGGGGCTGAGACAAAGACCGTTTCGGCTTCAGTGGCAAAGCCAGATTTGGCCCGATCGATCATGGGGCCCCTGCACCTCTGGGCGAAAGCTTTGGGCGAGCTCCTGCGCGCGGTTCGTTCGGCGCGTTCCGCGGACTAGGGTCGTACAGTTGGGAACGTCGCTGCAAAACCCGCAGCGAGGTACACTTTTTTTAAAGGGACACCAAGAGGAAATCGGGGGAAAAGAACAACACGACACACCGCTTTTTCTAGGGGTTGATTCCGGTTCCATTCTTTTCAAGCATCGCTCAAAACAGCCGTTTTCCCTGGGTTTCCGGAGGTTTTCTAGAAAAACGGATCCCTGGAAAGAATGGAAATGGAAGGTACCCCTGGACTTTTGCAACCACCCTCTTCCATCATACTCATTTTCCCCCAGCAGCTGAAAGCAATGAAGCATGTGCCAGGGGGGTCCGGGGCTGTTGGGGATGCCACTTGTTTTGTTTTGCTTGTGGAAGACAAATTCTAAGTTCTTCTCAAGTATAAACCGAAGATGGCGTAAAATCGCTAGACATGGTTGAACAATGATAGTTCTCTGGGCAAACTGATGTAATCAACAGGAGCTGGGCTTTCTTTTTTCAGGGAACCCCCCCAAAATGGTTCCCAAAGGTGTTCCTTGTGGTTTTCCTTTACCAAAAAGGGCGCCATGTGAAGACATCCCCCAGAAAGGGGCCGTCATGGATTCCACTGAGTCAGGCGAAAAAATGCGGCCAAAACCCGCTCTTGGTATATCAATTGATCCTGTTGACCCCTCTGCAACCAGTTTCTCACTTGTGGGTCCAAAGAAAATTCGACCTGCTTCCCAAAAAGTTAAAGTCCAAAAATCCGTTACCAAATGGCCATATAGTTATCTGCCATGTCCTTGCAGAACTCAAGGTAGCAACTTAGCTCCCTCTAAAAATGCAAATTGTGGATACCCCCGCCTCCGTAGCTCCATTCCAATCACCAGCTAGCTAGACCCAAGCAGCAAAGGCCGGCTAAGTGCTTGTATCAAGAAAGGAACTGCTCATGTCGCACACCCAGTCATCCCTGATCATTCTTCCCAAGCGAGGTTCCAATCCTGGACAAGAATCAAATATGGGTGTGGCCTGTTTTTGGGCAGACCACAAAAATGGTGGGTGTTCCTTTGGTTTTCCTTGAACACCAACAAAAGGCGTATCCTCACAAAACACACCCATATGGACCCTGCTTCGTCTATTTCCATGGATAAACTCACTCCCGACAAAGGGCCATTCCCGATATACCAAATGGTTTTTCAACCTATATGAGTGATACGTGAGTTTTGTGTTGGGCACCCTTTTCTTTTTCTCACCATTTTTGGGTGTCAAACCTTAAAACACAGCCCCATGTACAAAGATTAGCTAGCTTGCTCTCTCTCCCAACGCGAAAGACCTCTGAATTGGGACACCATGTTGATCAAACAGGAGTTGACGAATGCTGGGTTTCCAGTAGGATCTTCAAGTTAACAAGTACCTGGAGTCCCCATGACCCTTACAACATAGTGTCGCTACCCAAAATAATTGGGTCATTGACCCATTTTAAAGGGTCATGGAGACTCCAGGTAAAGTAAGCATGGTGACACCTAGACCAATACAACCATGGTGACTTATAAACAATTGTGACAGGACCTCGAATAAAAGTGATCACTTTTTGGAACCTTGACAAATCAGGGAAACCAAGAAAAAATGGAATCGCCCAAGGGGCAGATACCCATACTGGTTACACCCCCCTTTACTCGCAAAGCGGCATTCGACCTGGAATACCAGGTTTCAAAAAAAAAAAACGTTCTGAAACAGAGGGTGTTTGGAGGAGGGGTCCCCAACAATGTGGGGGGCTGACCCCTTTTCCTCCAGAATTTCAGCCTTCCTTTTGTGGCAAGACCCCTAAACAAAGAGAGCACTTGAAGTAGTGGGTGGGTCACTCTCCAAACTGAGGGCTGCCTGTAAACAAAGTGTTTAGAGCAGGAAACTGTCGTGACCGTCTCAACCCTTGGCAGGCTGAGGAGTCTCGCTCATTTTGTTGCTAAAGCGCCTGTTTGGTGGCTTTAAAGGGAAACCAAAAGGAACGCCGTCGCGCCAGTTTCGGGAATTCCCCGAACAAAAGACACCATCATTAATTTGTTTCTGGAGTTTATGATTTTCTGGTTGAACTGATCTGCAACCAACGCTGCCACTTGGGACGAGGACGCGCACTTCAAACTTCAGAGAACTCACACAACTGGGCAACTGGTAACCAGATAATTGCTTGGATGTTCAACCAACTTCGCACGTAGGGTATGACCATGGTTGTAAGTGGGGCCACTGGGGCAAGTCTCCTTATAACCACTTTTTATATCCTACTTACTAAGTTGGTTGAACACCAACTAGTTTTCATAAATCCGAATGTGATCAATGTGTCTCACCATGCTCCAACTCCTAATTCCAAGTCGTCTGCCACTTCTGAAAGGATAAACAACCAGACTTTGGGTACCATACTGAAAGCCATGCCAAGAGTAGTGAAGCCACAATCCCACCTCGGCGTTGAGAAGGCCATCCCCGTCCAAGTCCAGTGACGCGAAGTCCTGTTGCTGTTCGGTGCTTCTGTTTTGGTAAGTTTGTTTGTCGTGGTTCTTTGTTTGGTTGGTTTCCCAAAACCAAAGCTTGAAGGATGTAAGGAGATTAACGGCTGCCGAGGTGTTTTGTAGTGTTTTCGTTCTTTTTTGTCCTAGCGTCTCTCAAAACGGAAGACCCGGTGGATTCCCTTTACAAACCAAATCCAAACCAATGGCTTGAGGGGACCCTTTGCTTGCTAAGGAATGACCGAGTTTGCGGATTCCCTTAAAGGAAAACCAAATCGGAGATGTCATGTTCCATTTCTCATTCTCTGCCTATCGAACCCGCATTGTTCTTCAATTGTTGTGTCCTAGCGTACGAACTTGTGAGCTTCCCTCAAATTAGTGATTTGGGTTGGTGTTTCGCAGGTTAGGGGGTGGTTTCCCATTTACCCTCTACAAGAACCAAGGGTTTAAATTCCTCAACCACCAAAGCCAAACCACTCAAGGGTTGCCTGAACTTGTGGTTTCCCTTTACCAAAAAAAAACTACCATTCTTACTTGGTTGACGTTGGAAGGGGAGCAAAAATCTAAATGTTAGCAGTTAAGTGGAATTGGATTTCCACCACTAAACCACAATGAGCAAACACATAAAAAATGTTTCCCAACAAACCGACCGTGGTTAGGGGACCCCTTTGAGAAAGTATATTTTTTTTGAGGCGCCCCTTTGAGACCTAAGCTCAGGAATCCCGACCTCGAACCCTTGTCGCCTACCATCTGCCTTTTGAGAGAAAATCTATCAATTTTTGGCTTTCCTCTTGGTGTCCCTATAAAGCTACCAACAAATGGCCTTTGTTTTTGAAAATCTCCAAAATTGTGTCTTCCTCCTGGTGTCCCTATAAAGCTACCAACAAATGGGCACCCTCAAAAAGACACCCAACGAGACGCTGGATGTCCGCCAAACCCTGTAAACATCACCCGTCACCCCACAAAACGAAACCAGTCTTTGTTCTTTTTGGACCCGAATGGAAAAAGCAACTCCGCTATACCCCAAACTCACAAAACGCCATCCAGTGGATGTGTGTCACGCTAGGGTGCCAGAGTAGTGGTACCTTTGGAACCACTTGGGCGTTCGGCCAAGTTAGTAAGTTGTTGGTAAACTAAGGTTGCAACCCACTTCTTCAACTTACAAGTCCCCCTAAGCACCTTGTTAGAAGGGGGTTATACCCCAAGTTGCTAACCACTTCCTAACTTTGCCGAACACTAACAAAACTCCGCAACAGAATTATCAGAACACGAGCGTAGAGACTTGGGCGGAAAACAAAACGCCCCCTTCCACCAGTTCCTTCTTGCCATTCGCATGTGAGCAAAACACGTTTCAGTTCACCTGCAACACATGAACAGAACCAAGAAGCCAACAAACTAACAAACGCACTTATAGGGTCAGGGTAAGTAGATGACTAGCAACTAGTAGCTCTATCCCACTGAGACTTAGAACAATGGAGCAATGCAAAGTAGGTTCCCAGGGATTCAGAATCAGATCACCTGATATGTCGATCTGTTGGGGTCTATGTTGATTTGCTGGAAAGCAAACACTTACCCGAGGTAATTATCCTGCAAGTCCCAAAGTAAACCACCAAGTCAAGGATTTGGTGTCTTTTTCTGAGGGTACTTGTTTTGCTGCTGATTTTAAGGGAACCAAAAGGACAACACACCATCTTGGGGGGGCAATCTTACAAAAGGCACCCAAACGATGTTTTCCCCACGGCAACAAGTCGAAGTGTCTGCACAGGGGCATTAAGCCATTCAGTGTTAGTAGCCCTACCATGTTGCACAATGGGAGCTTCCTTAAACAAAAACATCGGACCCGCTTCTGATTGGAAACGAAAACCAAAAGGAAACCCAACGTTGCCAACATTAGTGAATGGACCCCTATCTTACTTGGCTGTTCAACCCACTTGGTAAGTAGGTCATAAGCATGGTTACAAGTCGGCTGACCTGTTGGAAAAATAGATGGCCCTGGTACATGGAATAAACTCCCATCTAAACCAGGAATCGCCCTCTATTTTTGAAGCAAACCGGCCAAAAAGGGCCACCTATGACTGGCTCCCTTCGGAACATTGACCAAACCCGCATTTTAGGGCACGAGGTTTCTTTGGGGAAAGAGAACATTGAAGGCAACATGGCTTCCCAAGGGTCCAACAAAAATCCGCCACTCCGAACCTCGATGTTCGGATCGCTCCCGCTGCATGGTGGCACGGTCCACGTTCTGCACCCGGGCGAAGGCCTCCATCTCCTCGAGAGATCCGTCGGTGTGCGTGAGAACAAAACAAAATGCGGCTGCGGCAGGCGCTATGGACATGTTGGTTTGTTGAGTTTTGTTTCGTTGTTTTGTGATTGTTGTATGGTTATGTTTGTTATTTATTGTTTGTATTGCTGTTTGTCGCTGTTTTTTTGGGTGTGTTTTTTTTGTATGTAACATATCCGTTGTGTGTTTATCCGTTTTAGTTGTTGTTGGTTCTCACCGATCGAGTGGCCAAAGCCCTGGAAACTAAAATTTGGCCCAGCCCCAGGAGTGAGAAGGTGATCACTTTCAACTTGAAATTGGCCAAGAGAAACTTAAAAAGGTTGAAAGGTCAAGGGTTTAAGGGCTTAAGACCCGACCTGCAAAGACCGAAAAACACAGCGGCCCAATTGTTGGTTGGATTTTTCAGCTTCCTCGAACTGGCTTTTTGGTGGTTGTTTCCACTTCGGAAACTTGAGCCCCGCTTCCTGAAATGGGGAAGGTACGCTTGGAACACCTCCAAGCCACCTGAGAGCTTTGCTTTAAAAGCATCGCCCCCTCCGAGAAAAACCTTTAAGCCCAGGCATCCCCAACGGAATCTGAAACCCGGAACCTTGGAGCTTCCCGAAGTTCGGAAGCCCCCGGTTTGCAGGGGAAGAAGTTGGAAGACCGGCTCCGGGCTTCCGTGTTCGAGCATCGCATCCTACGCGCGCGGCTGAACCCTAAGACCAACATGCCGCCATGAATCTTCATGGGTTTTGAGCCTTGGAGGCGCGTTGGACATGTTTCATTGGGGTGAGTCGGGTGAATCATGTCCACCACACTTTTGGATCGGTTCCAACTACCCCCCAGGATTCTAATGGAATATATTCGGCCTCAACATACTTCCTTCCAGCACCCCGAAAGATCCGAAAGCGACTCGAGGTGGTACGGGGACTCCCGGGTTCTGCAAACCCCGAGATTCGTAGAGTAACCGAATTTCGCAGCCGAAAGAAGCGAGTATTTTAAGTAGGGGGCACCAGTAAATCAAGCCCAACGGGGTAAAAGATCCCCAACCAGAAATTACCTAAACGCGGATCTCCATGACCCTGAAAACAAATGATGAGTCATTCCCCAAAGTCAAGCTCACTTCCGTGGATTGGCCAATAAAAATCCGGGCACTTGTTGTAAAGGCCACTATAATGGCTAAAGCCCCAAACGGAACTCAGGGGAGGGGGAACAAAGGGGAACCCATCAAAACCACAAAGTAACAAAAGTCCATGAACTCAAAAAGTGAGGAAGAGGTCATGGCAACTTGGCGCTCAACCAACTTATTACCTTATGACCATGGCAGGGGGAATATTCCCAGTTACAACAGTTATATCCATCGCAAGAAGCCGACTGAAGTGTGGACCCCTGATTCAGAAGCCTCCCTGAGTTAGTGATCAGGGGTCCTGGTCCTTCTGGAAAGGAATCCCAAAGACACAGGGGTCGCCCTTGTAACCAAAGGACATTTATCACTGGGATGTTCGGCTTAAGTTGGTAACTGGTTGCCCACCTAGGATATACATTCCCTTACAAGGTTAGCCCCACTTTAGGGCACCAATAAGTGGGTTACAACCTATAGGTTCCGATACTGGCGAATCGACCTGCCAAGTACTCAACGGTTGACTGTGGATGTACGTTTACTTGGAAACCATGGTTGACACCTGTTGGTTGGTAGGTTGGTATTTTTCAAGGGGAATCGAATCAGAAACCAGGGTTCTGAGTTCGGTGCTGCGTTTTATGGATTTCGTCGATCCACAGTATGACGTTGAACCTCCAAGAACCCGATTTTACTGGCCTTTTGGGAAAAATATGGCCCTGGTAAATGGAATAAACCCTATCTAAACCAGGGCTTTAAGCAAACCAACCAAAAAGAACACCTACTGTGGACTGACAAAATCCTGCACCAAATTGAAACCATAGGAAACCATTCATTGTTTGTATTTTTCGCGGGGAATCATCAGAAGCGCGGCTTTCTGAGTTCGGTGGTGCGTTTTATGGATGTTGTCCACCCACAAAAATGACGTTGAACCTCCAAGAACCCGATTTCGCGGAACCGGAGCAGATCCGCAGACGTCGTTTTTTTAGCAAATCCGATCCTGGCGATCCACGTAGCCGTCGCGGTTCCCGTCCAGGTTCCGCAGCATGCGGCTCACCACCCCCTAGCGCGCTAGGGCGCCAAACGGCCTGGGTTTGGTTTGGGTTGGCCCAGATGGTGAAAAACCTGGTCCTTTTTGAGGGGACCTTGTTTTTTTGAAGGGGCCCCGTTGTTTTCTCACATGCCGAGTGGCCAGGAGAGAACAAGAGGGCATTTTGTTTGGTTGGTTGAGGTTGAAGGGAACCCTTCCCCCAAAGAAGGACAACAGGGCATCCAAGGAAACCAACAAGAAAAAACACCTCTTTTCTTTCTTGGGGGAGGTCCCAAAAACGAACACACCCAGATGGTTCACTTCATGGGGCAAGCCGCTTGGGGCGCAGGGAATAATCTGAGAGGCTAAACAATGTGGCTCCTTCGAGCGACCACCAACCACCAAGCAGGCAAAGAAACAAACACTCACGCAAACAACTCATTGCACTAACAAAAAACATGCCACAAACACTGACGCAAACACAACATAACACCATACAAATAATACACACACACACGCACGCACGCACGCACACACGCACGCACGCACGCACGCACGCACGCACACTCATTCTGTGTTACACAAATCGCACACAAAAAGCAAACAAGGGCACAACAAACAACACAGACACACAAAACAATCAACCAACCAACCAAGCAACCAACCAACCAACCAAACACACAGTCAAACAACAAACAAACCCACAACCAACCAACCAAACAAGAACACTAACAAACAAAGAAACCAGCAAACAGACAAACAAAGAGACAAACACACAAACAACAAAGCAATAAACAAGAACAAAACACAGAAAGAAAGAAAGAAAGAAAGAAAGAAAGAAAGAAAGAAAGAAAGAAAGATAGACAGAAAGAACTAAAGAAAGAAAGAAATCAATAAATAAATAAAGAAATAAACAATATATAAGGAAATAAAGAAAGAAACAATATATATAAAGAGAGAAAGAAAGAAAGAAATAAAGAAAGAAAGAAAGAAACAATATATAAAGAAATAAAGAAAGAAAGAAAGAAAGAAAGAAATAAAGAAAGAAAGAAATAATGAATGAATGAATGAATGAATGAATGAATGAATGAAGGAAAGACAGAAAGAAACAAAGAAACACATAAATAACAACCAAGCGTTGAAAGAAAAAATATGCAACCCTACCAGCGGACAAAGAAACAAAGAAACAAACAAACCGACAAACAACCAATCAAACAGCCAACCAACAAACAAACAAGTGAAGAAACAAAGCAGCAAATACACAAACAAACATACAAATAAACAAACAAGCAAGTAAACAAACGCACAAACAAACAACACGCAAACAAACCAGCACACAAACAAACCAACAAAAAAACATAAATATACGAAACTAAAGATAAACATAAATGCTGAAAAAACAAATAACAACACAAACAATGAAACAAACACACAAAAAAAAACAAACTGCTAACCGACCAATCCACTGTCCACTCCGACCACCCAGCGAACACGCCAGCAAGCCAGCTAGCAAGCCAGCCAGCCAGCCAGCCAGCCAGCCAGCCAGCCAGCCAGCCAGCCAGCCAGCCAGCCAGCCAGCCAGCCAGCCAGCCAGCCAGCCAGCCAACCAACCAACCAACCAACCAACCAACCAGCAAACCAGCAAACCAGCAAACCAACCAAACAAGCAAACAAGCACGAAAACAAGCAAAGAAACCAGCAGACAAAGAAACAAAGAATCTGACAAACCGACGAACCAACAAACAAACAACAACCCAACGCACAAACAAACAAACAAACAAACAAACAAACAAACAAACAAACAAACACACACAAACAAGCAAGCAAGCAAACAAGCAAGCAAGCAAACAAGACAGCAAGCAAGCAAGCAAGCAAGCAAGCAAGCAAGCAAGCAAGCAAGCAAGCAAGCAAGCAAGCAAGCAAGCAAGCAAGCAAGCAAGCAAGCACGCACGCACGCACGCACGCACGCAAGCAAGCAAGCAAGCAAGCAAGCAAGCAAGCAAGCACACATCAGGCTGAGACTCTGAGCTCCTTTCAGCCTTTGCGTTCGATATGATTTGCCCACAATCGCCCAAAACCCATTGGCTCTTGGATCTGCCAAGATTGGTTGGACAGAAACAAGTTGCATTGGCCTCACTATAACCCTTGTTAAAGCAGAGAGCCTCTATCTGAGGGTTTTTGTATTACACCCTGGGATTACACCCTTGGGAAATGACCTAGAATGGTTCAAAATAACACGGTTTTATCCGGAAATGTGCCTAAATGGGGTCAATACCCAGTGGGTGTATTCCCAGGGTGTAATACAAAACCCCTTTAGACTGTAATTCGGTCACCTCCGCGTGTTTTGGACAGCGTCACCGGCGTCACTCGCCTGATCAATGCCGGCGCCCAGCGCCAGGCAGCAGAGGAAGGTCGCAGGGCGCAGCATAGTAAAGGCCTCAGCGCCCAGGGATCAAACCAAAGGCTGGTCCTCATCTGGGTATGGCTCAAAATTCAGCATTTGAGATTGGGGGAGGGGGGGTGACCCCTGCAAATCTCCATTTTCCATTTGGCTGTGGCTCAAAATTAAGCAGGAGGGGCAAACCGCAGGTTTTGGTCCATGGTTCCACTTACCAGGGCAAGCCATTTTGGAATTCCGGTTTTTTGAGCCACAGCCGTCTGAGTCACAATCAAAACCCTTCCTTCCAAGAGGCACATCAGTCACAATCAAAACCTGGTATTAAAATGGTCTACCCAGAACCATGCCTCAGTAGCCCGGCTTCAAACCAAAGGTTGCTGCTCAGCTGGCTGTAGTTCCAACTCCAACTCTACCTCGACATGACATGAAGCTTTCAGGGTGATTCATCTTGAGAAACAAATGCAGAATCATAATAGATCAATGATTGCCTGGCAATCTGGATGTGGTTGTCAAAACCGTTTTGGGATCCCATTTTGGGGTTTTCGGTGCACCCAGTTTAGAAAGTATTTTTGTCGGGATTGAATCGGATGTTCACTGGGGGTTCTGGGAATGAGACATGGAATGACCCCGAGCTAAACCACCCCTGGTGGCTTCCTTTGTTCGGGAATCCCAAAACGGTTCATCCCATTTCTCATTCCCTGCCGAGCACCAAGCCCTTACAACCTTTAGGGGAACTGAAAGGAAGGCCTCAGTTAAGGGCCAGGAATGGCAATCAGTAACCAGGTCCTTACAACCTTCAAGGGTGAACTGAAAAAAGTTCTTCTTCGTTTGAAGCAAGGCTCGATATGGCCATGGGTCAACACCCGAATCGTCCCCCCAGTGAACATCCGATTCAATCCAACCACTAAAATAGGAAATCCAAAATGGGTGGGGAATTCACCGAAAACCGCAAAATGGGATCCAAAACGGTCTAACGACAACCACAGCCGGCCGGACACCCTCTAACTTGTCAAAGGCGTACCAGTCATGTCGTTCCAAGAAAGGTCTGTTCGGAAACTGTTTTTTAGGCACACCAAACCAAAGAAAACCACAAGAAGCTATGCAACCCCCACGAAAAGCTAGATAATCCTTAACAACCTTGGAAAATCCCTACAAAGAGCTGCCCCCCCCCAAAAAAAAAAAAAAAAAAAAAAACTAAAACGCACAGTGCCAGCCCTGCAAGGCCCTCGCAGCAGCTGTTTTTCAACTAATATCAGAACAGTCTTTGCAGCAAAATGTCCTCATCATCCCAACTTGTTCGCAACTGTTTCCCGAAACCCTTTTCTAAGCGTTTCGCAACTTGTCCCAAGCCTTTTTCCCTGTTCTTGCTTGGATTAAAGTGTGATGGGCCATGGTTATTTGCGAAGCCGAACACCTCAAACATGTGTTGTCTTGGGCAGAGTAACGAGCCTGAAATATGGTTGCTGGTGAGTAAATCCAAATGTAAGGCTCAGTTTCCGACATATGGTGGTATCCCAGAATGATACAGCCCCTTGACACAGAGTCTCTGCTTGCCCCCACACAAACAGATTCTTGCTATTGGGTTATTGGGATCCCACAAGTTGAAGGCCAAAGATCCAACCAACTGGCAGCGAAGTACTGTTGACCAGGGATTCATCAATCGCGTGGCTTTACCGGTTGCTTTCGCCCATTCTGAAGCCAGAGTTTATTGATCACCTAGGTTCCCAATCAAAACTTGGCACAAAAATGGTGAGCCCAGAACCATGTAAAGAATTAGAAAGGCGGATATCCGCAACTATTTCCGGCTGGCCCCTTACAAACCTTTCTCTACCCGACTTCTGAGGCAAGTGGCTCAACTGGGTTCCCAGTGAATGATTTAACTTTCACTCAGCCCAAAAACAAGGGGCTTCCGATCTGTGGCAAGCCATGGGTTGTTCGGTTGCACATTGCACAACCCCCAAGGTTGGCGACGAGATTTGCCCGGAGTGGAATCAGTTGCGCCAGCTTGCACATGTTTGAAGGGCTATTCTGTAAACAATATACCTTGAGTGCTGTAGATCCCCCTGCAAACAGTTTAAGTGCTGGTAAAAAGGAAATATGTTCCGGGGAATCCAAAAAGTTAAAGTCTAAAGATCCAACCCAATAACAGTAGAAATACTTTTGCTTTCCTTTTGGAGGGGAGGCGTTGGGTTGCTTGAGCCGCTAGTGTTTGAACGACCTCCTGTTGGTGTCTTTTTAGATGGGACACGGGGTTGGTAGCCAGCTCCCCAAAAATCGGCCCCAACTGCGTGGAAATCATTTTGCTGCCAGGTCGCTGATGAAAAACGTTCGCTATTGAATGGTCTTGGGCCAAGAGGCTCCCGGCCTGCCAAAACAACTTCTGTCGTCCCTGGCGTCTCCTTACGACCCTTCAAACATGGGGTCATGCCCCCTTCATTTTTGGGAACCATCCAATTTTCACCCAGAGAGCAGCCCAAGGACACTTTTTCAAAACCACCTTTAAAAACCACAAGAATGGTAACTGCAGCTCCGACAAAGGGTTTCCTCACCCTCCAATAAAACAACACTTTGCATGCCTGTATACTTGCAGTCATGGAACCACCAGGGGTGCCGTAAAGTTCCACGAGTGGGAGGGCATAAAGCCACAAGGATCTTCCCGGGATTCACGAAGAGTACTACACCCAAAGCAAGTTCTATCATACTTTCGCCCAGTGTTCACAACAAAAAGTATTAAGCGCTGTGCTGTCAGTTCCCGTGGCCAGTGTAGTAGGCAACCAAGACTTGATACTTCTAGCCCAGTGCTTCCGGTCACCATTGCGGTAGGGAACCAAGGAACTTGATCATGTAAAACCTAGAGGATCCTAAAGGTATGAAACCCAGGTTACCTACTATTGTGAGAACTGGAAGCACTGGGTAGGTTTTACATGCTCGTTTCCGTGGCAACCTAATGCAATGGCATGCCAAGTGGGAAGTTCGGAAACTAGCCAATCCGGAGGTGTTTCCTTTTGGCGAAACGAAACTGGGCTGTTCCCAAATCCCCTGCTGAAAGTCAAAGTTTTCGTTGCTTAGTGGCAACTGCCACTAAACCCAAAAAACAACCTAGAAACGGCAGCTTTGGGATCAGTCCTGGGCAAGTCACAATCACCGACAGGACCATAGGAATGGGGGGTGCTTAGGTGCTTATGTCGCTGGTGCCCTCTTCACCCTTGCTTCAAGGGAAACCATAAGGAAAACACCATAAAATGGAAGGGGCCCCCCTCTATTGACACATCCCCAAAGCACAAACTGTTCATGGCTGACTAGGTCCTCCAGTAGAGAGGTTAGAATACGTGTACCAACTTTTTTTCTGTCATCTAGTTTAGTAGGGGGACCCTCCCCCAACAAAAACGGGCGCTGCTGGGGGACCTGGATAAAACTGAAGGGTCCCCCTCTATTGACACATCCCAGCACAAACCGGTCATGGCCGAGCTGGTTCCGCGAAATGTCTTACAACTGGGCCCTTTCAATGTTCCAAATGGAGGGGCCAGCCAGATCTCCCACCCAAAGGCGACGTCTTCAAGTCGGGTCCACGCCAAAACGCACATGGTCTCTTCCAAATGACTTACGAAGGCCCATCTTGGGGACCTACGAAACGGGGAAAAGGGGAAAGGGGTTAGGCGGAGTGCTGAAGAGGGATGGAATCCTATGCTGGCAACCTTCTTGGGATTGCTGGCTCTGTTGGGGTTTCAGTTTGTTTTTTACCAGTATGTGCGTGTTTTGTGTTGCTTGGAGGTTTGACCAAATATCTTTCTTTCACTGTGACCGCTCGCGCTCCCCTTTTCCTTCTCGCTGTACGGCCGTACGGCCACGGCTGGAAGTCTGAATTGACACTGCGCAGCTCTGCTCTTCGATGTGGCAATGGGGCAAAAGCCAAAAAGCCCGTACCCCCGGTGAGCATCCGATTCAATCCAACCACTAAAATCTGAAACCCAAAATGGGTGGGGAATTCACCGAAAACCCCAAAGTGGTTGATCCCAAAACGGTCTAACGACCACCACGTAGCCATGTCGCTTCATCCCGACTCCGCTCGCCCAGCTGCGCAGCGCGTGCATCGCATCTTGCTCAAAGCCCCAGGAAACAAAAGGCGAAGCATGAGCCTCGGCTCAAAAGCGGCCTGCCGGGCAAGGAACAACTGAAAGACCAAACACCGGTAGGCGCCCGGAAAACCAGAAGCAAAGAAGCAAGGGTCGATTCCCTTGGGGCCTGGGGCAAGTGAGCTTGTCTAGCTGCGAAGCCTTCTGCATCGCCGCTGCCACATTGACCGTAAGCCCTAGGCACACTGAAGCCGCGTCACTGAAGAGCCTTCATTTGCTTAAGCCCTCAGGAAAAAAAAAAAAAAACGACAAGGGAAAATAGCAAATTGTCTTAAGCAAATGGAAGACAGCTGTGTGGGAATGCGAAGGGCGAAGCAACACGATACCGAAAGGGTACCTTTCCAGCTGGAGTCTCCCTCTGAGCGTTGAAACATGGGGTCAGGATGCCTAACTTATGCTGGTAATGACCCCATTCTTAAGGGTCATGGAAACTCCTGCTGGCGTTGTGGGCTTTCTCCGCCCTCTCTCCCTCACCCTCACTCTCTCTATCTCTCTCTCCCTCCCTCCGCCCCTCCCTCGCTCAATCTCTCTCTCTCTCTCTCTCTCTCTCTCTCGCTCAATCTCTCTCTCTCCCTCTCACCCTCTCTCTCTCTCTCTCTCTCTCTCGCGCTCGCGCGCTCCCTCCCTCCCTCCCCCCCCTCCCCCCCTCCCCCTCCCCTCCCCCCTCCCCCCCTCCCCCCCCCCTCCCCCTCCCTCCCTCCCTCCCTCCCTCCCTCCCTCCCTCCCTCCCTCCCTCCCTCCCTCCCTCCCTCCCTCCCTCCCTCCCTCCCTCCCTCCCTCCCTCCCTCCCTCCCTCCCTCCCTCCCCTCCTCCCCCTCCCTCCCTCCCTCCCTCCCTACCTCCCTCCTCCTCCCTCCCTCCCTCCCTCCCTCCCTCCTCCCTCCCTCCCTCCTCCCTCCCTCCCTCCTCCCTCCCTCCCTCCTCCCTCCCTCCCTCCTCCCTCCCTCCCTCCCTCCCTCCCTCCCTCCCTCCTCCCTCCCTCTCCCTCCCTCCTCCCTCCCTCCCTCCCTCCTCCCTCCTCCCTCCCTCCCTCCCTCCCTCCCCCTCCCTCCCTCCCTCCTCCCTCCCTCCCTCCCTCCCTCCCTCCCTCCTCCCTCCCTCCCTCCCTCCTCCCTCCCTCCTCCCTCCCTCCTCCTCCCTCCCTCCCTCCCTCCCTCCCTCCCCCTCCCTCCCTCCTCCCCCCCTCCCTCCCTCCCTCCCTCCCTCCCTCCCTCCCTCCCTCCCTCCCTCCCTCCTCCCTCCCTCCCTCCCTCCCTCCCCCCCCCCTCTCTTATCAGAGTTCCGTATGTGTCACCTGTAGACATCGTACCAAGCCTCAATGGATGTGAAACTCGCTTGGGCAATAGCAACCGTTATAACCGGGCCCTTTTTGAGCGCTGTCACTGGCCATGAGAGGCTTCCGAACTTGGTCGCTGTTGACCTCTCTGCAAAAAAATATAACAGTTTGAGGGTCCAATGGACAATCCACAGTTTCCCAAACAGCTAAAGTCCAAAGATCCGACCCATAGCCATACAGCAAAGTGCCCGTGCTTCCCATCGACCACTTTGTTTTCTCAGAGCGCCTGGCTGTTCTATATAAGGATATCTGCCATGTGGGGGTTGATCAAAAGGAACGTGACACCTGGTCGTTTGGGGGCCAGGAATATTGATCAACCCCGATGTTGTGGTTCATGGAAACGCTCATCAACAGCAAGCCGTGCGTTGAAAGGGTAGATTAGGCACATCAGGGCTGTTCCCTAAGTTGGCATGACCCCCTTTAGGAACCGATCGCCTTTAGGAACCGATCATCTGATTGGTTCATCAACCAAACTCATTGCCCAAACATAAACGCCTGCTTGACTCTGATTGGTGGCTGGCCCGTTTTGGTGGGGCTTCCAACCGCTTTCGGAGGGGCGCCTTTATAAACGCCTGCTTGATTTTGATTGGGGGGTGGCCCTTTTTGGTGGGGCTGCGCCAGAAAACATGACAGGCTCCACTTGGATCGGGATCAGCTGACCCAAAACGGACGAAACCCTGCACCACCAAAGCAACCGTGGCCGATGAGTCCTCAACGTACATAGCTTCACAAACGTCCTGGTTTCAACCATGGCTTCATTTTGAGCAGGGGTGTGGGATCACTTGGGGTTTGTCCCCACTTCTGTGATACAAGCTGGAATCCCCGCTTCATATGGGGGGGTTAGTCTTTGGAAGGCCCTGGTTGTATCACAGAAGTGGATTCCATTTTTCCCACAGCCCTGATTTTGAGCGAATGGATTTCGCAACCATCCTGGCCTTGCATCTCTCAAATGACATGCGCGGCTTCGGACACAGAGCTCAGAACTTTCTCAAAATCAGCGGGCCCCTTTGCCACGAATCTGGTGCTTTCTTTGGCCCAAAGGACCCAGAATTCAGAGGTTGAGCTTTGGGGGCCATGACGAAAGATAGGCCAAGAGGTCGGAACAACTGGGTTTGGGTCCTGCTGTTGGGCAGAGGAATCCGACGCCATTAAAGTCACAAACAAAACCCGTGCTTCCAGCCGTGGCAAGCCACTACAGTGAGCAACCAGGGGTTTCCAGTCATGATGTAAAACCTGAACTAAGCTATCCTGGCTACTGCAGATAGAGGTATCCGGAAGCACTGGGTGGTTTTTCTAATTGGTCCACCCAGAACCATGTAAAGAATAAACCCTCGGCGGCTGCATCAATTTATGCTTGGGACAATCCCTTACTAACCATCATCTACCCGGTTTTGCTTTTGGCACATTTCCGGTGGCAAAATGACCAAGGCTGTGAAAAGGAAGTTACTCCCAGTGGATCCATTTACCTGCATAGGCAACCAAGCAAACCACCCTTAAAATTCCAAAAGGAAAATAGCTGGTATCTGGGCTGCCCTCAGATCCCCCGCTGAAAGTTTAACTTTTAGTGGGTTAAACGGAAACTACCACTAAACACTATAAAAGGCTGAAAGGCTGAGGAACCGGATGGCTGGGATCCACTGGGAATGCCTAATGTACAAGCCGCATCCCTTTTGGACGCCAGGGGCATAACGCCTCTCTTGACCCGTCAGACGTCGAACGAACGAACTGGTGCCAGCCGGTTGAAAAGCCGGTGCAAGGTTAACCCCGGAATTAATAACCCCCTGCTTGATTTTCTTTGGCGGGTGTCGCAATCCTTTTAGTGGGGATTCACCCCCCAAATGATGGGACGGGTTTATGAATCCTGGGGCAACATTGTCGATTTGGGATGGGATCCAGTTGCACCAC